GGATAGTGTGAATTCAGCTCATTCTCAGACAGATCATTCTGGGGAAGAATACAGAAGCTCTGTAAATGGGTTCCTTAAGACCATCTCTATCCACTCTTTGGCAAGACTTTCTCTGCCATCTTTCTAGTCTGAAAAGGCTATAAAGGCACAGGTCCTGGGCTTCTGGGACCATTGCTGCCGCATCTGGAGCTCTTGGGTTTATTTTGTTATTTATTTTCTGCTTTTGTTTTTGTTTTTCCTTCTTAATTCAAAGGCAGGGTTTTCCTGGTAAAAACGAGTCTGAAAAACAGCTTCCATGGGGGAAACATGGAAGGATTTAAAGTACTGAAGTGGCATAATTAGTTTTTTGCTTCAAAGATTGCTTTGGCATCTGGGCACACTGTGGAGGCTAAACTTCAGGGAGTCAAAACTGAAGACCCTGTCAGAAATGGTGGTGGGCACTCAGACACTCAGACGGAGCATAGCTTCTTGGAGTGCAATCCCCTGACCCCTCCATCCGCACTTCCTGCTCACCCTGTGAGTGAGGGCCTGTACTTTGGAACTCCTGCCTATAGCAATCTTTGCCTCCTTTCTTTTCATCTCACAAATGTAATCTGCTGACAAGCCTGTTGTTTCTTTCTTCAGGTTTGTTTCTGGCTATTCCTATCTCACCGTCTACATCAGTTTTGCTTTTGTTTGTTTGTGACAGGGTTTTCTATGTTGTCTTAGCTGCTCTGGGACTCACTGCGTAGACCAGGTTGGCCTGACGCTTGAACGGCCCCTCTGCTTCTGTGTATTCCTGAAGGCCACCATCCTACATCAGGCTCTTAGACATTCCTTCTTGGAATCTCTTAACTGGCCTTGCTGCTTTTGCTCTGTCACCAGTCAGTCCTTCATTGTCACCCTTAGCTACTTTTGTTTTATCATGAAATGCTGCCGCACAGGCAGGAGAGTAGTTTTGTTCAATTCCTCTTCCTATGCTGAGTCTCTGGCTTCTCTAGAAAATTCTAAGTAGAACAGAAGGTTAAAGCAGCAAGGAATACATTTCTGTTCGTGGTAACTACTGCTGCCTTTGCTTCTTTCTCTGTGTGCTGTTTGTAAACTTAGCAGGGTTCAATGTGAAGAAACGCCCCTCCTTTTGGCACTTACTGCTTCTTCTCAGGGAGAACTTTTGTGAGGAAAGTGGGATTTTAAATGGTGTAGAACAGAGACTATTTTGTGTGAGACTCTCTGCTATCAGCTGTTCCTCAAGGGTGAGCATCACGTAAGTCAAGTGTGGGGCAGCAATGGAGGCCACAGGGACCTTCCTGGATGCTCACAGGGATGCTTGTGAGGAGAGACACAGGTCACCTGGAATTCGAGTCATTAAGAATATAAATGCATGGTACTGGAGAGATGGCTCGGTGCTGAACAGTACTGACTGCTCTTCCCAGCACCCACATGGCAGCTCACAACTGTCTGTAACCCCAGTTCCAGGGGACCTGACACCCATGGCAAAAGAAAATCAAAAACCCACCAATGCACATTGAAGAAGAAGAAGGAGGAGGAGGAGGAGAAGGAGGAGAAGGAGGAGGAGAAGGAGGAGAAGGAGGAGGAGAAGGAGGAGAAGGAGGAGAAGGAGGAGAAGAAGAAGGAGAAGACAAAGAAGAAGGTAAATGTAGCTGAACAATGGTGGCACATGTCTTTAATCTCTTGGGAGGCAGAGACTGGTGGATCTCTTCCAGTTCCAGGACAGCCTGGTCTACACAGAAAGTGCCAGGAGAGTCAAAGCTTCGTAGAGAGACCCTGTCTCAACAAACAACAATAAAACCCCTTTAAGAAAGTATGGATTTAATTTGGACTCAAGAATTTGAGTGCACCATCCATTAGGCAACAGGTGCACAGGCAGCTGGTCAGTTTGCTTGTTTCTTTTATTCAGTCCAGGGTTCCACTTATGGGATGGTGTTATCCATCCAGGTCGGGCCTCTCTTCCTCTTTGGAAAGCCCTCACACACATTTCCTAGGTGATTCTAAATCTACTCAAGTTGACAGTGCAGGTTAACCCTCCCAGTGGAGCTTTGGGACCTACAGTGGAAATCAGTGTGAGTGCAAATCTCTTCAAGGGACCTGAGACTTCTTTGACTGAGTGCAGCTGGAGTTGGAGTTTCTTTTTTGCTAGGGAACATGACTTCTTGGAACCCATAACAGCTTGTAGCACTATCCAGATTAATGTTAGGACGTACTATCCGTGGAACAGTGGAGAACCATGACAGCATCAGAGGGGGAGCACTTAGGTCAGCAGACTCTGGGGTTTCCTGGGCTTTCCATGCATTGCAGCAGGGTCACTAAACATGGCCCAGATCTTGCTGTCTGCAATAGGAACAGCAGAAGCTTGGGTAATTGGAATACACAGACAACCAAATTCTCATTTGTGATACTTTTGACCTTCCTTTCAAAATTAAAGAACAAGAAACCTTCCACTGGGTCTTAAAAACCTCATTAAACCAGGGCTGAGAGACGGCTCTGTTAAAAGAACTTGCTGTGCAAACCCAAGGACCTGAGTGTGGGTCCCAGCACCCAGGTAAACTGTGTGTGTGGCAGTGTGTGCCTGTAATGCTAGCTCTGAGGAGGTGGGACAAGGAGGAATGCTTCGATTGCTAGGCACCGAGTCTGGACAAATTCGTGAGTATCATATTCAGTGAGAGATTCTGTCTCAAAAACTAAGGTGGAGAGGACAGCTGGTGTGGACCTCTGTTTTGTTTGTTTGTTTGTTTGTTTGCTTTTTTGCTTTTGTTTGCACACACCTGTGAAAACACACCACAATGTGTATACAATAAAATGAATAAAATTAAAATCCCATTAAATCATTTAACTTTTGTGTCTGGCCCCTTTAACTGTCTCGTTAGTATACCTAGCCAAATGGAAGAAAGATAGAGGGACTTGGCCATGCTTGAATGTTTAACCCTTAAGATAATGTCTCATCCAAAGTATTGAGAAAAACAACACAACTATGCTGGTATTTTCTGGGTGACTGATGGCTGTCCTTCACTGGGATTTGCAGATGTCATCACTGAAAGACTGTCTGGGACTTGGTGGCCATGACACAGCAAAGAGCTTCACCTTAGGTAGCAGGGAACCAGGGTTCTAGTTTCTGTTCCACTACGGAATAGTCTTTTGGGATTAGAGGGGAGGGGAGGGTTTCTGTGAGACATGTCTCTTGGAGACTGTTTTTGATTATTTCTAAATAAGAAAATTGGAACCATTCTACCTCTGGTGTTCTGTGAGTCGTCAAAGTTGTGTCATTTTTAAACCTTCTCTCATGAGAACAATAGTTGGTCTGGAGTATGTTGGTATTATGGGTACACACACGTCACTCCAGCATTTAGGAGATTGAGGCAGCAAGAGCCTCATGAGTTGGAGGGCAGCCTGAGTTATGCATTGAGACCTTGTTTCTAAATAAATAGAGAGTTAAGAGCCATTTTCTTGGAGACACATTCTTACTATTTAGCTCAGGCTATCTCCAAACTCACTATGCAGCTACCCAGATTTGTGATTGTTCTGTCTCAGTCCTCCCAGTCCCAGGGTGACAGGCCTAAGAGTCCTGTCTTTCTCATATTGTCACTTCACCCTTGCGACTGCGGTTCTTTTTCTTGCCCAGACAGAAGGTAATTTCTTTTCACCAGCAGCGTTGGCAGCCTGGAACAAGAGTTCTCTTCCCTTGGTGTTAAAGAAGGGGCTGCCCATAGGCTTCTATTTGTATTGACCTTCAGGCAGGGGAACTTGTCACTGGGGCTTGCCTATTGCCTCTGTTCACTCTATGGACCAGGGTTTTTTTCAGTTGTGTGCTCCCCCAGAGGCAAAAGTTGAAACGATTAACTTCTTTCGTGCTGGTGCCTAAAGCAATCAGAGCGCATACCTTTGAATAAAATGACCTTCTCCTTAAATTTCCAGCCAAGCCACTAGGTGTCGCCTTCATCTCAGAGAAAGAGTGTCGGTCCTCAGCCTTCAGTCACTCCCTCTCTGCTGGGGAGCTTCTAGCTTCTTGGCACTGTGAATTCTGGAGAACAGGCTTCAAGGGGGAGAGAAACTGGCTGTCAGCACGGAGGAGAATGTGTTTATGTGCATGTCCTTTATGACAATTTGAGAACTCCCCAAGGTCCCATAGCAGTCCCCTCAGCAATGATGTCATCCCTCACAAGCTGTTCCTCCACATGGGGTCAGCACTCCAGATGTGGGGTACCTGGATGAACTTTCCAGTCAGGAATCTCAGGAATGGGGTGGAAAGCAAGGTAGAGTACAATGGGCCTTCATTGCTGGGGTCTGTTGGGGGCTTAGTCAATCTATATGCTTCCGTCAAGTGTGGCACAGGGACACAAAAGGACAAAGCCCTGGAACAGATGGCTGGTGAATCCAATAGGCATAAAAAAAAAAAAAAAAAAAAGTACGCCCGTGGAGACAGAAACAGAATGGGGAGTTGAGCCCTCGGGAAGAGGAAGACTCGTGAACTTCAAGAACACTCGAGAAGACTGTAGTCCTTTGGTACCACGAGGGCCTGTTTTTCAGGAAGAGGCCCCCAGCATTTAGGAGTTTGCTGGAGTTTTCCCTACCTAGAAATAGATAAATGGATACCCAGTGCTTGGGAATTCCTGACAGCTTCCTGGAGACTGGAGCGTCTGGGGAAATTTGGTTGAGCAAATGGACCCCGAGAAAAGCGGGGTGCCCATCCGGGGGCGGGGAGAAGACAGGCCCAGGGGTCCCGGGCATGAGTGAGATGGAAGCAGCCCTGTGGACAAGGGACTTGGGCGAAGCAGAAGGCGGCCCTTACGGTGTGGGGACTCACGGGAACCTCGGTGGCCGAGAGGCCCGGGTGCGAAGCCCTCGGGGCCCTCACCGGGTGGCTTGGGGCCTGGGAGGTCCCTGGGCGCCGGGCAGGGGTGGGGTGGGGGAGGCAGCAGCAGCCGGAGGGTGGGGCCGGGCGGGGGGCGGGGCGGGCGGGGAGGGGGAGGGGCGGGGTCGGGCGGCCCCGCCGGGGAAGTCACACTCGGCCGCCGCCGCGGGCGCAGCGAGCGGAGACGCGCCGGGCCGAGGCGACCTGACCTGGACGAGCGGCGCGCGCGGGGGCCCAGGCGGGGGGCGGGAGGCAGCGCCGGGCAGCGCGGGCCGCCGGGCCGGGAGAAGCGGAGCCGAGAGGAGCTGGGGACACGGGCGGGGCCGCCGCAGCTCCGGATGGGACCAGCGCCCGGGCCCGTTAGTCCAGGCAGGAGCTTCGGGAGAAGCCGTCCCTGGGAGAGTCAGCCCTGCCTTTCCCTCCCCTCCGGCCCAGGCCTCGCTTCGCTCCCTGCCTGCCCATGTCCCAATCCTTCCGCGGCGGGCGCCCTCCCACCTCAGCCCGGGGCTCCGGCTTCTCGCAGCTCTTTGCCCTCCCGGCCCGGTCAGCTGTGAGGTGCCCCCAGGCCGTTTCTTTGTACCAGCCTCCCCCAGGTCCCCACCCCATCCCAGGCTTAGATCCCCCCCTGCTCGGCTTGGGCTTGTCAGGCCACTTCACCCCTCACTGTCCTCATCCCGGTCGCAGGCCCCCTCCTCGGTGCCTCCCTCCTTCTGCCACCCTGTCCTTAGTCCATGGTCCCTGCTGTAGGCTGGTAGCCCACTCCTTCCCGGCCCAGGCTTCCCCCCATCCCCTTCTTGCGGGGTCCCCAGCACTTTCTGTATCCGGGTCGACTAAGCTTGCCCCCACTTCTCTTCTTGGCCCTCTTCCCCAGGCTCCAGGCTGGGTGGTGCTTGTGCCTGCCCAGTAGGCCAGAGCGGCCCCTGGTTCGGGGGGCCGTGGGTCAGCGGCGCTATCCCCATGGCACTGCCATCACTGCTGTTGGTGGTGGCAGCCCTGGCAGGTGGGGTGCGTCCTCCGGGGGCGCGGAACCTGACGCTGGCGGTCGTGCTGCCAGAACACAACCTGAGCTATGCCTGGGCCTGGCCACGGGTGGGTCCTGCTGTGGCACTGGCTGTGGAGGCACTGGGCCGGGCACTGCCCGTGGACCTGCGGTTTGTCAGCTCCGAACTAGATGGCGCCTGCTCTGAGTACCTGGCACCACTGCGCGCTGTGGACCTCAAGCTGTACCATGACCCCGACCTTCTGTTGGGCCCCGGTTGTGTGTACCCTGCTGCCTCTGTGGCTCGCTTTGCCTCACACTGGCACCTTCCCCTCCTGACTGCGGGTGCAGTGGCCTCTGGCTTTGCAGCTAAGAATGAGCATTATCGTACCCTGGTTCGCACTGGCCCCTCTGCTCCCAAGCTGGGTGAGTTTGTAGTGACATTGCACGGGCACTTCAACTGGACTGCTCGGGCTGCCTTGCTGTATCTGGATGCTCGCACAGATGACCGGCCCCACTACTTCACCATCGAGGGTGTCTTTGAGGCCCTGCAGGGAAGCAACCTCAGTGTGCAGCACCAGGTGTATGCCCGAGAGCCAGGTGGCCCTGAGCAAGCCACCCACTTCATCAGAGCCAACGGGCGCAGTAAGTGTGGCCCCGGGGCTGTTCTAGGAACAGGGGAGGAGGGCCACTGTGTCCCTGGAACATAGCACAGACAAGTAGAGAGAGAGGCTTGGGAAAGTCACATGCAATGGTTGGGATGGAGGAGCCTATGAAAACAGAGCTCCAGGGAGAGGACCTGAGCTAGGACAGAGTCTTAGAATCACAGGCACAGATCGGCAAGGCTGAGACTGGGGCTCAGGCAGTGAAGAGTTTGGGGAAGCAGTGTGGGTGCTTTGAGTAGCGGATATGAGTGATATCTACTCAGAAATGTGCACCTGTCTGTGAGCAGAGGCTCCTTAGACTGGTGCACCAAGGTCTTCTTGTAGCATAGAGATGACTCTGTGGGTTTGGGTACACTTGGTTGGGAAAGCTGATAAAGCTCACACAAAAATTGTGAGCACAGATGCCTGTGAGCCTAGCCAGAGCCAGGCAGGAGAGGAGCAGCAGGAGCTGTGAGACAGAGCAAACACAGCTCTGGGGGAAGGAGTCACCCCTTTCTCTAGGGTCTGGAGTCGGGCTCTGACTTTTGCCAGATGGTCCATGTGGCCCAAGGGCACTTTATGACATGAGCTCCAAGGGGAGGATGGGAACATCTGTGGGGTGGTCGATAGAGCACTCTCTTGTAATGGGATGATACAGGGAGGGAGGGGGTTGGTGGGGGACCTGGGCACTGTCTCAGGGTGCCCCTTCTGTCCTGTGCACTCCCAGTTGTGTATATCTGCGGCCCTCTGGAGATGCTGCACGAGATCCTGCTTCAGGCCCAGAGGGAGAACCTGACCAATGGGGACTATGTCTTCTTTTACCTTGATGTCTTTGGGGAGAGTCTCCGAGCAGGCCCCACACGTGCAACAGGCCGGCCATGGCAGGACAATCGAACCCAGGAACAGGCCCAGGCCCTCAGAGAGGCCTTTCAGGTATCTTTGGAACCCAAACTAGAGATGGGGAGAGGCACTGGTTGGAAGGTCTGTTTCTCACAAGACCACAGAAGCCCCAGGAACAGGGCAGGACTTGTGGGCTATGGAAGGGAAGTGATCAGAAAGTTTCGATGCCTAGTGTCACTCTTCCTTCCTTTGTGACTGTTACTTAGTGTGCTTGTCAGGGCAGCCTGGCCCCTGCCAGATCTTAGGGTGCTTTCCTGAGTGCCAGCAGTGAGCTAAAATGCAGGAAGAAAGAGGTCTGAGTCTTGCCCCAGAAAGGGCTGCCATCCTTATGGGAGAGGCAAGATGAAATTATAACGCAGTAAGTGACAAAAGGAGATAAATCTGTGCGTGAAGCAGATCTCGAGATCAGTGGCTAAGGGATGAAGGCTGGATCTGGGATGGGATGAGGAAAGGGTCTTATAAAGGAATTTAGACTGTTGTAATTTTCATGGCAGATGCTATGTTCACAGAGTGGCGGGACAGGGATCCAAAGCCCATGCAAAGGAAAGAAAGATAATACGTGTTTGGTCTAGTAAGAAAGGAGGGTTCATCTAAAAGAAATGTTTCTAAGACAGGGTACCAGTCATGCCTTGAACTGGTAGTTCCCCTCCCCCAGCCTTCCCACTGGGATCTTAGGCAAGGGCTTTAAAAAGTGTCCCCTTAAAGCAACACCTAGGGACTAAAGTGACCAACACATGGATTAAAAGGATGTTGACTGTTAAGGACTAGAATCTGAGTTTTTATTTATTTATTTATTTAGTTAGTTTTTTTCGTATTTAGATTTTTCTGTAGCTTTGAGCCTGTCCAGGAGCCTGCTCTGTAGACCAGGCTGGCCTCGAACTCACAGAGATCTGCCTGCTTCTGCCTCCTGAATGCTGGGATAAAAGGTATGCGCCACCACCACCCAGCTGGATTTGAGTTTTTGTATGACAGTAAAGTGTAACTTAATCCAGGTTGTGTCAGCAGAGGAGATGGACTGTAGGTTGTCAAGGAATGAGGCGATATGGCTTGAAGGAGAAGGGCTGTGCTAGGAAGAATGGAAAGAAACTGATTTATAAAAGAACTCGCAGAGAAAGTCGGTGTTACTGAGCATTTTCCACCTCTGCCCCAAACTTTCAACAACCTGCTCCCTACAGAGCGAAACCTCAGCTCCTAACCATGACCTTTAAGGCCCTCCCCTTGCCAGCCAGCATCCTCCTCCTCTGTGCGCTCCCCTCCTTTTCCCTCTTCCCTCACTCTGGACCTCCCCCCTGAGATCATGCCCACGAGTCTCCGTCTGGTTTCCTCACCAGTTCTTACTGATTTGTGTATATAAGTGTTTCCTATTTATTTATCCATAGCCCTCAAAGAGTATTTGAGGTGGCTTAGGGAATGACCTTAAGATCCTTTCCACTCTGAGACTCTTTGGTTCTAAGTAGAGTGTACAAGGGCTAGGCCTGGGTGGCCATTCTTCTCCAGTGAGTAAGTTTTATGCGGCTGTGATTATATATTTGGTTGTGACTGGTGAGCGAGTCTCACTGTGAATGGCATATCTGTTTGCGTGCTTGCCTATGAGTCTGTGACTGTCATACTTGAACATGGGCAGTGATAGGACAGCTCTTCTTTATGTTGTAACTTTTTCCGAAAACAACCATCTCACCTGTGTCTATATGATTTCATTATATAGACATGGGTGAGTAAGTCTCAGAGCAGTATTTTGTCTTTTAAGGAACAATTTCTAAACCCCAGCTTGAGCTGAGTCTCTTACTTTGCCCACTACAGAGCACATTATTTAGTTCATGTTCGAGTCCCTTAGAGACCAATTCATTGTTAGTATTTCCTGAATGTCACCTAACTCAGTATTGGTATGCAATGCAGAACATATTAGACACACTCTGTCTTTAGTTTATAGTTAGTAGGCGAGACAGACAAGAAACAAGCTTATTCATTGTTGATAAGGGTTACCAGAAGAAGAAAAACAGTTGCATGGCCTGAGAAGAAAAGGGACTGAACCTGGAAAGGCTGGTTTACACCTTTCCTGGATCCTGGGACTCTATAGTCCTCTGGGTAGGAATTTTTTGTTTTGTTTTTTCCTTTGAGTTCTAGTGTTTTTGTTTGTTTGTTTTTGGTTTTAGGAGATGGGGTTTCTCTGTGGTTTTGGAAGCTGTCCTGGAACTAGCTTTTGTAGACCAGGCTGGCCTCCAACTCACAGAGATCTGCCTGCTTCTGCCTCCGGAGCGCTGGGATTAAAGGTGTGCACCACCACTGCCTGGCTGGGCTCTAGTGTTTAACTAGAGCCTTATGTATGCTAGACAAGCTCTACCACTGCACTGCATCCTCATTCTTGGTTTGTAGTCTTTGTGCAAAAGAAAAACCTCTTTCTTGTATGAGAATTACCAGCACCAAGAGACCCCAGAACTTAGAGTAGGGGAGGAAAGGTCTAGTTAGCTAACAGCTATATCAATTAATTAATTCTTGGTTCCTTCCTTCACTGTAGGCCTCATTCAGACAGGGGGGGAAAAAAAGGAAGGTTTTTGTTACAACTTAAGATAAAGGAAACAGGCAGGAAAGGATAAACTGAGGGGAGACCAAGGTTTGGGGTGGGTGGGAGTGAGGCATTTTCAGGAAAAGCTTCTCTTGTTTATTGCCAGAACCGACAGAAGGGAGGGCAGCTTGGAGGTCGGTGGTCAGCTCTGGAAAAACAAAGAACAGTGAGCCTTTCCTTCAGAGATGCTGGGCCACCTGGGTCTCAGATCAGACCAACCCTGAAAAGAGGGTAGATGAGGCAAGAGCCCTAGTCTGTAGACGTCCAGAGCCTTTGTCAGTAGCTGGAACATCTAAGGCAGGGGTGCCAGCGCAGTCTGGGTATCCCTCACTGAGGGGAGGGAAAGAGCTTAACTCACGTGTATTGATAGGCTCCTTCTTTCCCATCAGTCATCGATGTTCCAGAGCAGGGCTTGAGTCAAATTAATCTGTATGTAGGGGAGAGGGGAGATAGGCTGAGGAATTATTGTAGAGAGACCTTCCAGGCGCCATAAACCAAGATAATTAACCGAGGCAGGTAAGAAAAATTAATAGAGTAGAACTTAATAAGCAAGCAGTCAGACTGGGAGGATGTAGGTTTGCACTGAGCAACTGAGAATACAGGGTTTGAAATCCTAACCCACGCATGCCCACAATGAGAAACATTTGCCCCAGGAGTGGAGGAAAGGGACTGTGTGTGGCCGCTGCTCTTGTCTGTAATCTCAGCACTTGAGAGACTAAGGCAGGGAGGTCACTGAGCTTTTGAGGCCAGCCTGGGCGACCTGGTGAGATCTCTCACAACAAACAGCAATAAAACAACAACTAGAATGGAAGAAAGCCCTAAAGCCAAGGCTATGGAAGGCAGTTCCCCTTTCCCGAGACTATTCATGGTTTCTTCAGCCCATGGCTGGCATCACTTTCTGCTGTGCCCAGAGCAGGACTCAAGGTGGGTGGTGCACTCTTGGCTCGCCCCCCATTGAACTCCTTATTTTTGGCAGTGTTGCTTGTTTAGTTTTCCACTTGGGGGCCACTATGAATTAGTGGGACTCAATTAGCTACCTTTGCCTTCTTTTTAGTCCCTGAGTAAGTACAGAAAGTGTTTGGAGTTGTTTTTGTTTGGGGTTTGTTTTCTTTTTTTTTTAGTAGCTAGTTAGTAACCACAGCAAAACATTCTTGAATAGCCATTTTCTAAGTGTGGCCTTGGGATCCTGGGGCCCCCAGAAATCCTTTTAGGGGGACTGTGAAGTGAAAATTATTTAAAAATAATGTCAAGATGTTATTGACCGTTGTTACTGTTCTCCTATGATTTCACGGTGGGATTTCTATACCTCTCTGACAGCCATGGAAAACACGCTTGTGCATTCTTGTGTTTTCATAATTTATCAGGCTCAGTTTTAATTTTAACTTCTCATTTGGTAACTATGGAGATACAAAATTTCTTCGGGGTCCTCAATAAGTTTTAAGAGAAGAGGAGACTGGTGGCAGGCTTGTAATCCTAGCACTCTGGACCTGAAGCAGGAGGATCTGGAGTTTGAGGACAACAACAAAACAAAGATAAGACAACAAAACTAGGGCTGGAGAGATGCCTCAGCACTTAAGAGCATCCACTGTTCTCCCAGAGGACCCAAGTTCAGCTCCCAGCTGAACTTCACATCACATGGCCCACAACTCTGTCACTCCAGCTGCAGGGGTATTTAATACCTTGAGGCTGCACACACACACACACACACACACACACACACTTATTATTCTTTATTTAAGATAGGGACTTCTGTGTAACCCAAACTGACCCTGAACTTTCCAGCCTTCTGCCTTGCCTCCAGAGTGCTGGAATTATGGGGTGTGTCACCACCATGGCAAAAAATTTGATTACTGCCAGCTTAGGGGTGAATCTCCAAGCTGGGAGGCACAGTGTCCAGGAAGTGTTATTAAACATTTTGTCAGCCTTTTTGAAGTATACCTCGGTTATTCTGATCTTTTCCAACTCTTTTCCTGACTGTCACTTGTCAACAGGACCATTCCTCTCTCTTCTTGGCAGGTGTCAGTGAATGAACCCTTTGCCTGACCCTGAGGAGCACTTCCTGTCTTCTCCTTCCCTCTAGCTCCCTTCTCCTCTTTCTCCCTCATCCTTTCCTTCTCCTTCTCTTGCCTGAGAGTGACTGTTAAGAGTACAACCAAGCATATAAACTCCCCAGTAAGAAAACTCTAGTCTAATATCTAACAAATGCACATTAGAAACTGGGTTGTTTCCTATCTGGAACAAATTGATACATGCAGATCATTTGTGATATATCCAGTATGTCTGTGTGGTCCACAAGCACTTTCTGTGATGAGAATAAACAAAACTGGTAGAAATGGCCAGACTTTTGTTCTGATTTTGTTGTTGTTTTATGAAATGGGGTCTTGCTATGTCACCCTGATTGGCGTGGAATTCACTATGTAGACAAGGCTGGCCTTGATCTTACAGCTTTCTTTCTGTCTCAGCCTCTTGGGGGTTAGGAATACAGACAAGAGCCACCATACCTGGCTTGAAACAGCTAGATTTTAACCTATCACTTCACATGGTTATATTTTACAAAATGTATTGAACCGGCATCTTTCTCTGAAGTTGTAAGCCCAATTTCCTGTCTGAGCAGTCTCATTTAGTCGCGTGGTCCAAGGATGAACAGTCTTTCAGGTGGAGAAAAGGGGTATCGAGACTCAGAGGAGCTAGGCAGGCCGTTTGTCGAGGGACAGAGATGTGTTGATTCATGTTAGTAAAATGCGTGCATGGCTGAGACCAAATGCATCATTTGCTTTATCTGTGCAATGTGTGTGGGCATGCGACTTACATGACAGACATCTGCTTCTTAGTGAGCATGTTGTTTATGGTAGGTGTTTCCTATATGCACAGTAAATTCAATCCATGGTTTTCACGGATAGAATTACTGTCTCAAAGTGTTTCTCACAGGGCTTGAAATCTAATTCACTGAGAGAAGTTATCGTGTGCCAGTGACACACTATGAAAAAGTCAACTTTTAATGGATAATCAACATTTAACACAGATGGGAGGAACTGTAGCTCTGCTTGGCCTAGCACTCACAGAGATCTGCCTACCTCTGCTTCTTGAGTGCTGGCATCAAAGGGGTACCCAGAAAGTAGGGACAGAGGAGTTCCCATGAGTGTGGTTCCCATGAGCCTGGCAGGAGGCCTGATGACAGAAGGGAGGCAAAGAGGGTAAGGGGCTGAGTTTGCAGCCTCTCACACAGGAGTGCCACTACCTTCCAATCCCCACACTTTCCACAGAGTTTACTGCATTTCAGCCTCCAGACTCTCCTGTGCAAGTTTTATACCCTGTGTGTTTTTACCAACTTTTTCTATAACAGTTTTTCTCACATCTTCAATTTGAATCTTGTTCACTCTTCCCCATGTACCATAATGAAGACTGTGTTGGTGATCACATACCGAGAACCCCCAAATCCTGAGTATCAGGAATTCCAGAATCGCCTGTTGATCAGAGCCCGGGAAGACTTCGGTGTGGAGCTGGCCCCATCCCTGGTGAGTAGATCTCTGAGAGTCAGAACAGGCTATGAGCAGGGAGGGGCCTCCTTCCTTCAACATGGATCATGGAGCAAGCCCCACTTTGGGCTGTCCCTTCCATCCAGGGTATTATGCCTTTGCCCCTGGGACCAGGTGGATAGAGCTGGCACTGTAGGGGTGAGAGAAGTAAGCTGGGACTGTGGAGAGGCAGGACACTGCAGGGGTGGGAAGGAGAACTGGGAAAGGGGCCACACAGGACATTTGGAGAGTGCTGCTGAAGTTGCTGCCCCCAGATGAACCTCATCGCTGGCTGCTTCTATGATGGAATCCTGCTATATGCCCAAGTCCTGAATGAGACAATACAGGAAGGAGGCACTCGGGAAGATGGGCTTCGAATTGTAGAGAAGATGCAGGGACGAAGATACCACGGTAATGAAGAGGGGCACCTGGAGCTGCGGGCTGACACCAGGTTCAGGAGTGGGATGGACAAAAGAGGAGGCACCCCAGGGACCACAGGGAGAGCCAGCGGGGGCCAGGGACGAGCAGAGTGGGCATACATAAAGAACCACGGTGGGGAGGGTCTCAGACCCAGAGACTGGGTCGGCAGGAGGAGGTGGGCCAGAGGAAGGTCTCAAGGTGAGCGACACTTTTTAAATCTTAGGTGTAACTGGACTGGTTGTCATGGACAAGAACAATGACCGAGAGACTGATTTTGTCCTGTGGGCCATGGGAGACTTGGATTCTGGGGACTTCCAGGTGACGGGGGAGAGGACAGGGAAGAGAAAGTGGACCAAAAATCCCGTGGGGACAGAACCAGTGGTTCTGGGGCAGGAGCTGACAGCCCTGCTGGACCGGTGTCCTGGAGGGAGTCTGAGGGAGGAGGTGGGGGCAGGCCTGTGGGCCCAGTGCTCTGCTTCCTCACAGCCCGCAGCCCACTACTCAGGAGCCGAGAAGCAGATCTGGTGGACAGGCCGGCCTATTCCCTGGGTGAAGGGGGCCCCACCCTTGGACAACCCCCCCTGTGCCTTTGACTTGGACGACCCTTCCTGTGATAAAAGTGGGTGTGTGCAGGGACTGGGAGCAGTCCCCCCCTTTTACCCAACCCCTGTGCTCTGCCCCCACTGACACCCACTCCTAGCTCTATTTTATCTCTGCAGCTCTCTCTCCTTACTTCTGCCCCTCAAGAACGCTGTGCCCCCATCACACCTGTGTCCCCTCCCCCTCAGCCCTCTCCAGGCTTTCTCAGGGTCTCTCTCCTTCCTCCTCCAGCTCCACTTTCCACTCTGGCGATTGTGGCCCTGGGCACAGGTATCACCTTCATCATGTTTGGTGTTTCCAGTTTCTTAATTTTCCGGTGAGTTCTAGGCTTTCCTGCTCCTTACCTCTTTCTTGTCACGTGGCCTCTGGCTGAGGCCAGGGTTCTGTGGGATGAGGGTGGCAAATCTCCTGACCTGGTGTGGGTCTCTTGGACTGGCACCTTTCTCTCTAGCCTTTTAATTTGGGTGCCCTTCATCCTAGAGGCTTATTTTGCTTTTATCTGTAACCTGAGTAGAATAATGATTGTTTTGTTTGTTTTTATTTGTTTTGAGACAAAGCCTTGTTATGTAGCCCAGGCTGACCTTGAACTCAAGATCCTACTCCCTTGGCCTCCTTGTGCTGGGATTATAGATAGGTGTCATAGTTCTATGTTTGGATACTGATTTTTTTGTTTTGTTTTGTTTTTTGTTTTTTGAGATAAGGTCTCATTGTAGATCCCTGGCTGGTCTAGAAATCATATGTAGACCAGGCTGGCCCGGAAACTCTCAGAGATTTGCCCACCTTTGTTTTTCAAGTGCTGGGATTAAACATCCTCCACCATGCCCAACTATGAATACTGATTTTTAAAAATTATTTTTATTTATATATCTCCTCTATGTCTATGTGAATATATAGGTGTCTGTAGAGGTCAGAGAGGCAATCAGAACCCTGTGAGTTGCAGGTGATTATGAACTACCTGGGATAGATGCCTGGAGTTGAACTTGGGTCTTTTGGAAGAGCAGCAGGCACCCCTAAGGACTTAGCCATCTCTCCAGACCTTGAGTACAGACTTCGAGTAGAGTTAGGATCAAAAGTGAATTTCTATGCACTGGGTGCCACTGGCTCCCTTCCCCACCCCATTCCCGCTAATATGCAACAACAACATCAAACTCCTAGTTCTGGGTATTTGCGAAACCCAGGATCAAGTCACCAACAAATTCTATGTCTGATGAGGGTGCACTTTCTGATTTGTGGAAAGTAGCGTTTCACTGTGTCCTCACATCGTGGAAGACGGCATGCCCGGATTTAGCTGTAGGTTGGAGGTGGAGCTGCTCAATGGTAGCACTCTTGCCTAACAGGTTCAAGGCCTTAGGTTTGACTTCTAGCCTGGAAGAAGGAAACCTCTCTCCTGAAGAGAGAGGAGGTAAGGGACAAAAGGGGTGGGGAGAAAGGGAGAGAGAGATCTACCGCTGTGTGTGGTGGTATATATAAGCCCAGCACTTGGAAGGCTGAAGCTGGAAGATCATCATGCGTTTGAGGTCAACCTGGACCTTTTCTCAAAACCAAACCGAACCAAACCACTTTGCCTCTAACCCTGAGTGCATATAGGCATGGGTTAGAACGTGGCGCTCATTTCCTTATGTCCTAGTTCTGTCTCTGCCATAACAGTTGTAGCTCCCTTGCAGCTTAGTGGGTGGCAGGACAGGGCTTGGCAGTCAACTGAGTTGTGCAGTCCTTACAGAAAACTGATGCTGGAGAAGGAACTGGCTAGTATGCTGTGGCGCATTCGCTGGGAAGAACTGCAGTTTGGCAACTCAGATCGTTATCATAAAGGTGCAGGCAGCCGCCTAACACTGTCGCTGGTGAGTCCTTGGCTCCCCACTTTCCTCTGAGTTCCTGTTCCCTGTTCCTTCTTACCCTGGAGCTTTCCCAGCACATTGGCTTGTAATGATAGCCCCTTGCACTACCACCACCATCTAATGTTCCTTTCATCCTTCCGCCTCCATGTTGCCCTTGGCCCCAGCGGGGATCCAGTTACGGCTCGCTCATGACAGCCCATGGGAAATACCAGATCTTTGCCAACACCGGTCACTTCAAGGTGAACAGTCGTCTGCTTGTTCTGGTTCCCAACCATTTCATTGTGCCTCATGCCCATCTGCCACCTCTGCCCCTGAACCTCTTGCCCCTCATAGTCCCCCCCATACCCAGCTATACCCTCTCTTGGATGCTCTCAGTTCCCAGTGTTTCCTCAGACACTCCTGATGCTCAATTTCTTTTTCCACCCCCCACCTTAGGGAAATGTTGTTGCCATCAAACATGTGAATAAGAAACGCATTGAGCTGACCCGGCAAGTTCTGTTTGAACTCAAACACGTACGTACTTGGGTGGAAGGTGAGGGTAGACAGGGAAGAGGGAACGAAGAGACCATGGGATGGTCAACTGGCTAAGAGGGTAAGGGGTTATTTATTACTGGCTCCCAGTTGTAGGCATAAGTAGGAGGAAGGTCATTTCTCACAGTCGTGTGTTTATCTAAATCTTAGTGCTGTCAATTCTCTTGTTTTTTCTGCTAGATGAGAGATGTTCAGTTCAACCATCTTACTCGATTCATCGGAGCCTGTATAGACCCTCCCAACATTTGCATCGTCACTGAGTATTGTCCTCGTGGGAGCTTACAAGTGAGGGACAGGTGTAGGAGATTGCGGTGGGGTAGGGAAAGACCCAAAGTCACATTGTTCCAAGTTAAAGCCAGTGAGACTTAGGATAGATACTGATCTCTTCCACATCACTTGCCAGGACATTCTAGAAAATGACAGCATCAATTTGGACTGGATGTTTCGCTATTCACTCATTAATGATCTTGTGAAGGTGAGTCTTCTCCAACCTTCTGCCCCCATTGTTCAGTCTTTGCTACAATCTCTCTCTTAGACCTCAGTCATGCTCTCCCATGTTGAGTGATGATGGATAGATAGGGGCTCTGAGTTATAACTGGGAGAGCTTTGATCTACCACAGCAGTCCTATACCCAGAGAGGGTTCTTATCTTCCTGTCTCATGAATCTTACATGTTTCTCTCCTGTCTCTTTCACCTCGAAGGTGTGGGAGCTATAGCTGGGCTTGCCAACCTATGGGAGGCTGAGGCAGCAGGAATGCTAGAATTTTGAGCCCAACCACTGCTTCATAATGGGCTTCAGGCCAGTTTGGACTACAGAATAAGATCCTATCCACCCCCCCAAAAGAAAATAAAAGAAGCAAACGAAAAGACATCCCTTAGTTGGGTGCAGGTGGTGCACACCTGTAATCCTAACACTCACTGAGGCAGGAGGATTGGGAGTTTGACAGCAACCTGAGCATCATAGTAAGACTCTGTCTCAAAGCAAGACAAACAGAACCAAATCTCTTGAGCAGCAAAAAGACAAGTGAGGTCTCCAAACACTTATTTCCTCTTATCTTATACGCTTTGACCAATATTAGGCATGACTATTCTTTAACTGCTGAAGACATGTCTGTTATTCAACATATAAATTTAACTGATTCTTTTGGAGACTGGGTGTCACTGTGTGATCCTGGCTAACCTGTAACTTGATTTGTAGACCAGGCCGACCATGAGCTCAGAGATCTGCCTGCCTCTGCCTCCTGTGTTCTGGGATTAATAGCATGTGACAACACTCCTGGCTTTGATTTCTTTTTGAGATAGGGTTTCATGTTGCCCAGACTGGCCTCAAACTTACTATATAGCCAGAAATTGCTTTGAATTCCTCTCTTGTCTCCACCTCTCAAATAATAACACTAGGTGTGTACCACCATACTTGGTTAGAGACTGAGATTGAAATATATATAAAAGAGATGGAAGGAAAAGTGTACTAACCCTTTGTTATTCCAATGGTCAGTTATCTTCAAGGGCATATGGGTGAATATTGCATGGCTTAGACATGGCAGATCTCACAGCCAATAAGTCCACTAATGAGATCAGCTAACTGTGCCTGACTCTGGCCCTGATTTTCTGCTAAATTCTCAGTTTTTAAAAATTAATTTATGCATAAGGAAGCTTGTCATGAAGTGAGAGAGAAAAATATTAGCCGGGCATTGGTGGTGCACACCTTTAATCCCAGCACTCAGGAGGCAGAGGCAGGCGGATCTCTGTGAGTTCGAGGCTAGCCTGGTCTACAGAGGTAGTTTCAGGACAGCATCAAAGCCACAGAGAAACCCTGACTCAAAAAACAAACAAGAGAGAGAGAGAGAGAGAGAGAGAGAGAGAGAGAGAGAGAGAGAGAGAGAGCGAAGTACAAACATGTAATTCTCAACAGAAGTGATGATAAACATAGGAAAACAGGACTCCTTCTGCAGTTCCCACAGCAGTAAATTCACCTGCTTAGGCATCCCTAAAGGTTTCTTGATACTCAAAGGAAGAAAGAGGAAGAGTTCAGAGACCATGAGTGTTTCAAGGCTAGAGCTTAACATTCACACCGTGGATTCCCATTACTATGCAGAACCTTCTATCCTTTTTCTGACTCGTCTGCTCTGACTAGGGTGAGCTTCCGGAGTTTCTGTTTGGAGAAGCACTGCCTTGTCCTCCCAATATTTGCCTTTTGATTCCTTGGAGGCAAATGCCCTGACATTTCTGCTTCAGGAAGCCATGCTTCTGCAATGGCTTGGCAGTTATCTCCCTTTTCTGTCTCCTTTTTCAAATTTCCCTGGTTTACTGTCTTCTTCACTACTGTCTGGTCTGACATTCCTCTAATAGGTCACATTCTGCCCCAACCACAACCTGCTACACACTAGACTCCACCATTGCCTGGTTTTCTGTGGTGCATCTAGAGACTAGGCCAGAGTCTTAAGCTGTGTCTTCTTAATTAGTTGCTAGGTATGTGAAGCCACTTTAGGTGCCAAACTAGTTTTGGCTGTTCCCCTTACTATTCAGAAGACTGCCATTTCCAGGGAAATTATGGGTGGTTCTCCCTATCCTCATTCATAAGCATTTCCCCTCATCCCTTGTGCCTGAATGCCTAGATGCTAGTTACTGTACTGGAAGGGCTCTCCCATTCTGCCTGCCTCTTTGAGTAGAGGCTCTACAAGGGGCATCATCTCAACTAAGCTTTTATTTATTTATTCATTCACTCATTTATTAAACTCAAGATCCTTGAATTTCTAATGGTTTTTGGTTAGTGGTCTGAATCTCTTTATTCAGCTAGCTGGACCATCTCATGGACTGGGGTGGCCTAAGCCACATATGATCCAGATACTTTCTCTGTATCCTGCAGGGCATGGCCTTTCTCCACAACAGCATTATTGCATCTCATGGAAGTCTCAAGTCCTCCAATTGTGTGGTGGATAGTCGGTTTGTGCTCAAAATAACAGATTATGGTCTGGCTAGCTTCCGATCAACTGCGGAACCTGACGACAGCCATGCCCTCTATGCCAGTGAGACTGCTCCCTTCATCATCACTCCCTCACCTCTCTCCCCCTCCCCCATCACCTGCTTTTTATATTGCTCTTCAGGCCTTGATCATTTCCTCTCAGGGAGATTATGAGAGGTAGACTAGTAGCAGTAACATGGGGATTCCCCCAAGGGAGGCTGTGAGAGATAGACCAGTAGCAATAACATGGGGGAACTCCCAAAGGAGGCTGTGAGAGGTAGACCAGTAAGTAGCCCAGGTAGAACCCAGGATGCCCTATTTAAGCAACCTAGTCATCCCGTTCACTCTTTGCAGAGAAGCTGTGGACTGCCCCAGAACTGCTTAGTGGGAACTCCTTGCCAACCACAGGCATGCAGAAGGCAGATGTCTATAGCTTTGCCATCATCCTACAGGAAATAGCACTCCGCAGTGGTCCTTTCTACCTGGAAGGCTTGGATCTCAGTCCCAAAGGTGAGTCAGTTGCTAGTCACAGCCTATTCCACTAGGGAAACCTTGTGCTTCATCCAATTTTCTGTCACCCTCAGAGATTGTCCAGAAGGTTCGAAATGGCCAGAGGCCATATTTCCGGCCAAGCATTGACCGGACACAACTGAATGAAGAGTTAGTTTTGCTGATGGAGAGATGTTGGGCCCAGGACCCAGCAGAGCGTCCAGACTTTGGGCAGATCAAGGGCTTCATTCGCCGGTTTAACAAGTGAGAGGGCATTGAGGCTCAGAGGCTTCCAGGGACAGAAACCTTATCATTCTTAGTGGCTGAGGCTGGTGAACCCCGAGGGTGGGTTGGACAGAAAGTCCTGTTAGTCTTGAAGGTCTTGGAGCAGGTGTCATATCCTGGCCTCCTGCAGGGAAGGTGGTACGAGCATATTGGACAACCTGTTGCTGCGAATGGAACAATACGCCAATAACCTGGAAAAGCTGGTGGAGGAGCGCACACAGGCCTATCTAGAGGAGAAACGCAAAGCAGAGGCTCTGCTGTACCAAATTCTACCCCAGTAAGACCTTTGTCCCCCTTTTCCAAAATTTCCTTGGGTCCTGCCTCATCTGCCTTCTGAGAATTCTTTTGCAACCCTGGGAACCCTACAATGCTAACTCCTGCCACAGTGAGCCCTCCCAGCTAAATGCTCCCACTGTGGCTTCAAATGAGCCGTGCAGCCTACTGTTACCTTCCCGTCCCTCCTGCTTAGGGCACTGTTCTTCCTCACCTTTGTCTCAGCAAGTATACACAGAACAATTCCAACGGGAACCACTTAGTCCCCTGTGGGTCCCCTTGCAGCTCCCCACCACTTGTCACCCTACTGTGCACTAGGTGACATCTTCTCAGCTACTTTCCCTTTCTTCCACCAAAGCCAGCTTTCATGCTACAGCTCGGCTGTGCTGCAGCCACACACCCTGTCTTCCTCATTACCCCTTCCCCGGAGCTGCGCTGACAGTGCCCCCTTACTTCCTAGTTCTGTGGCAGAGCAGTTAAAACGGGGAGAGACTGTCCAGGCAGAGGCCTTTGACAGTGTTACCATCTACTTCAGCGACATCGTGGGCTTCACAGCACTGTCAGCTGAGAGCACCCCCATGCAGGTGAGAGCTGTGAGCAGGATGGGTGCCACCGGGTCCTGGGAGCCTCACTGGAATTTCAGAGCCTCTGCTTTCCCATTCTGTTAGGTGGTGACACTTCTTAATGACCTTTATACCTGCTTTGATGCTATAATCGACAACTTTGATGTCTACAAGGTGAGAGCTGGAGCCACCTTTTCTTGTTTGTTTTTTTGTTTGTTTGTTTTTGTTTTTCGAGACAGGGTTTCTCTGTAGCTTTGGTCTGTCCTCGAACTCACTCCGTAGACCAGGCTAGACTCGAACTCACAGAGATCTGCCTGCCTCTGCCTCTCGAGTGCTGGGGATTAAAGGCGTGTGCCACCAACACCTGGTGCCACCCTCCTAAGGCCCATTTGAAACATGGTTTCCTGAACCCCCACATACCATATCCACTCCTCAGTCAGTGCTCCCCAAGTTTCTCCATCATCCAAGTATTCTTTAGTGGATATGATTTGAGCAAACATGGAGACTCTTAGTCTGACACCTGTGATTCTCAGGGTTCCCTAATCACAGCCATCACTTGCTTTAGCTCCTCTCTCTCTGAGATATTAGTAAGCACCTCCCAGAAGAAGCACAGAGGATGTGGGGTGAGGGGCAAGACCCAAATGCATGTTGTACAGCTCTTTTTTAAAGTCATTGAGTCGGCCTAACTGACCTTGGAAGTAAAAATGTGCTAGATTTCAATACTGATTTTATAGATAATTATGTGGCCTGAGACAAGTCACAGGGTTTCTCTGAGCCTTAGTTGTTGCAGTAATAGATTAGGTATATGAAAACCGATGGACTGGTGCCATGGCTCAGTGGGCAAAGGAACCAAACCTGGTATGTATATGATGGAGAGAACCGACTCCCATAGGTTGTCCTCTGGTGTGTGTGTATGAGTATGTGTGCACATGCACTCAAAAATAAATGTGAGAAATAGTTCTTAAAAGTGCCTCACATTGAGTATGGCACAGGGCAAATAATAATGCTGGGCATGGTGATAGCTGTCTGTCACCCCAGTATTTAGGAGATTGGGACAGATGGATTAGTAGTTTGAGGTCAGCCTTAGCACAGTGAGGTGATATCCAAACATAAGTAAGGATATTTTAAAGCTTACCCTACCCTCTGATGTTTCCTTAACAAAATTACAATAAACCCTTTACCTAAATTGGTTCATTGTTTCTATTTCCTCCTTTTATTTTAGACGTCTTTCCCTGTCTCTGTGGTATTTGTAAATCAAACCCATAGCTTTCCCCATGCTAATCTGTTCGGCTACTTGGCAACATTCTAGGTCCTATTTTATTCCAAAAAACCTCATATAGTTATTATGTGGAACATATGAGAGGAAGTCTTAGACACAGTACCCCCTTTATTCCTAAATACTTAGTATGGGTTCCCTACACATTTCTCTGCACCATAGGTTTGGTACAGTGGCTGTGTCTTCCCTGACAGTTGGGCTGTCTGGTCCATGTGTCTGAGCCTGCTTTACCTTCTTTGAGCCTTTGGGTTCTTTGGATTAGGATTCTGCTCCTGTCCACTTGTTCAGCAATGCCACTGAGCATTCACCAGGGGCTGGGGCACTGAGGAGGAGTTAAGTATTCCCTGTCTGCCCTGCTCTTATCTGCAGATCCTCAGGACCATGGCATGTAGTTCCTAGTCCATCTGGTCAGGCATGGCCTCCCAGGCTGTTAGGATGACTCCTGGCAGTGTCCATTTTATCTCTCTCATTCACACCAATATAGCTAGAGATGACTTCTTAAAATAGTTTTCTTATTTATGTTTGTGTGTCTATGTGAATATATGCCACATGTGTGCGGTTGCCCATGGAGGCCAGAAGAAGGTGTCATATCACCTGGAACTGGAGTTACAGGGGATTTGAGCTGCTGTGTGGGTGCTGGGAACTGAACGCAGGTCCTCTGGAAGAGCAGACAGTGTTCTTCTAACTACTGAACCTATAGATGACCTTTTAATCTTCCCTTTAAATCAGGTGGAAACCATTGGGGATGCCTACATGGTGGTATCTGGCCTTCCAGGCCGAAACGGTCAGCGCCATGCACCAGAAATTGCTCGTATGGCCCTAGCATTGCTAGATGCTGTTTCTTCCTTCCGCATCCGACATCGACCCCATGACCAGCTGAGGTTACGTATAGGTGTCCATACTGGTAAGGTTAATTCTCACCTATCCCTAGGGTCTACTTGTCCGAGTCTCTCCCAACCAGCTTGTTTCTGTAGGGCCTGTCTGTGCTGGGGTTGTTGGTCTGAAGATGCCCCGGTACTGTCTTTTTGGGGACACGGTGAACACTGCTTCTCGAATGGAGTCTAATGGTCAAGGTGAGGTCAGCAGCCTTTAACTCCAACCTTGACCTGGGTCTGTCTTGCTCTTTTCTCTTTGCAGAGTTCCTCCGTATCTCTCAGTTGCATAGTTAATATGTCCCTGGGCATATATTGATTCCCATAGATGTGCACTGGTAGGGTTGGGGGGGGGGTTCCTGGAGGAGGGATGAGTGGATAAAGCATTTTCCAGCATGCCAATTTTTTCTCTTGCCTTTTCTTTGACTTCCTTCTCCCTCTGCTCCTGGCCTACACTACCCCAGCTCTAAAGATCCATGTCTCCTCGACCACCAAAGATGCCCTGGATGAGCTAGGATGCTTCCAGCTGGAGCTCCGTGGGGATGTGGAGATGAAGGTGACAGTGGGACATGGGGGAGTGGATCCTGGGGGGGAGAGGGAGATAAACGCACTAACACAGAAGGGTCTCAACTATGCTCACTCCCCTGCCTCCAGGGAAAAGGAAAAATGCGAACTTATTGGCTCTTAGGAGAGCGAAAAGGACCCCCCGGACTCCTATAAAACCCAAGCCAGACAATCTCCTGCTGCTGGTACTTGGATGGGCAATGACCACCATCTCTCCACACAACAAAAAGACATTGTCACTTGAGATGGAAAAACATGCATACACACACACACCCCAAAACAAAACCCTGCCTTATATGGAAGTCATAGCCCTCTGCAGCTCAACCTTGTACATATACCTGCCTCTCCCTGGCTTCTTGTAAATATCTGTATCTAGACCAGAATATTTTGTCAAGTATAAAACAACAATAACAACAAATCATGGTGTTATTGTCTGGGGTCCAGGCCATCGCAAGGGAAGAATACTGGGTATGGGCCCAGCTACTCACAGACTCAATGAATTAGCAGCTTCAGGAGGAGAGTGCTTTATGTAAACCCCCTCATCAAGCACAGAGAATTAGCTCCTCCCACACCTGCCTCTACAGTATAAACAGAAATAGATCCCAAATTCCATGTCTGCTTCCCTCCTCAACTCTTAGGCTGGAGTTGTCCGCCACACCCCTCTCCTCCTCCCTGACAGGCAAGGGAAGACATTGCCCCCATTTGGTGGGGGAAAGTCTCAAGTTCATAAGGCAAAGGCTGCCCAAGAGACAAGGGCACTGGCGTTGAGAAGCTGCAGTTCTTCCGGAAAGGTGTGTCCAGTGTCCTGATGTCACTGACACCCTGGAGGAGTGTCAGGGTGAGAACAGATGCCACCCTTCCCCAAGCCAGAACAAAGGAGCCCTCCCACCCCCACCTAGTCACCCCCACACACCGGTAGCTGTGGTGCTCTCTGTATCCAGAACGTCTCAGGCTGTTCCTGGCGGTAATCATGAGGCTATGAGGGAAGAGATACTGAGTAACTCCTGGTCTTTGCCTCTCTCATCTCAATTTCTGGATCGCTGCTTTCCCGCTGTTGGGCAGCACCCAGCTGTACAAGTAAGCTGAGCTGGGTTCTCACCTTTGTGGGGGCTGGAGGCCCTGTTTGTACCAGCTTCGCTCTGTAGTCATGGTGTGTTACTGACTCGGCTTCAAAGAGCTCCCTTGAAGGTTCTTGCTCTGCCTGCACCTCTTTACTATGTAGCCAGGGAGAGGTCAAGGCCAGGCCCGGTTTTCCCTTAGTCCCACCCTCCTCCCTCACTTTTCCCAGGCTCTCACCAGACCTGGTGGTACAAGAGCATCTCCAGCCTAGCTTCACGGTTCCCTGTGGGAGGACAGAAGCGGAGTTTGGTCAAGAAGCAGGTTCAGAAACAGAGTTGAGAAGGGAAATCTTAGGGTTTGCCTGTAGAGCCAGAACCAGTCCCACCAGAAAGTCCACCCCCCCCTTTTTTTCTGCCTACTGGGCTCTTTCTGGCCCCATCTCTCACGCTTCACACCTCGAAGTGGCTGACAGACATTTCTTGGGGGCCTGTATGAGTCTTTCTGGGTGGTGCTGGAAGACATGGGTGACTGAACTTGCGTGCTCAGCAGTCCCTGGTGTCCGTGTCGGAAGAAGTAACTCTCAGAACCATCTTGCAATCTTGGGATTTCATCCAAGCAGTTGGTGGATCTCTGCGGACCACATGTTCAGTGACTATGAGCTCCCTTCTCATTCTGCCCCTGGTCACAAACTATTGGCTCCTCTAGGAAACGGGGTGGGTGGGTGGGGATTGGCCTTCAGGAAAGGGGAGCAGGCCAAAACTTCATACCTCTTCCACCCAGTTGCGAAGGAGGCACTGGCCACGGGGCAGTGTTTTACAAAGCAACTCAGGTTTCCTTTCAGCCTCGGGGGGTTTCCATGGCCCTCGTACTCCAGGTTCTTTGACTTGTATATGTTCCCAGGGTTGTCGGTGCCGCTCACAGTAGCAGTACTGATTCCACCCAACACAAGGGAGCAGATCTGGCGGGATGCTTCTGAACCCTTGAGGAATGCTGGAGCTGACTTTTTGACTAGGTTCAGAGTCAGCAGGACAAGGCCCAGGGGCAGGAGCAGGAGCAGGTTCAGGGGCAGTAGCAGGTCCAGATGGAGGACCGGAGCCTTGGCCAGTACAACAAATGTGGCCAGGACCAGAGCCCAAACCCGAGCCAGGACTACAGCTGTGAACAGAGCTATGACCAGGATAAGAGGCAGGATCATGCTTTGAGTTGGGGTCTGTGGTACAGGGCTTCCGAGTTACATAAGAAATATAGAGGGGTTGATAGCCAAACCTCCCATGGCCTATCTGATGGGATCCAGGGCAAGCAGCCTCGAGACTTTCAGAAGAGGGCTCTGTGAGCACAGAATACGGCCTATGAGGCACTTCACGTAATACAGTTGGGACAGTCACAGCATCTACAGCAGACCTAGGACTGCTACCCGAAGAAGGAAGAGGTTCTGAAATGCTCTCTTGTCCTTCGGAGCTGGGCTGTACCTCTAAAGATCTGAAAGAAACAAATACGTCAAGGATATGAAAATCGCTGCGAAACTAGTGCGTTGACCTTCCTTGTTCTCCTGTCCATGGCTCTTACGGCGACGGAGACTCCTCGGTAGACTCGGTCTCCATTTTCAGACGCTGCTACCGGGTTGCCATGGAGACAGCAAACAAATCCAGGAGACTGCGCACAACTAGAGCTGGGCGGACCAAGGTGGAGGGTAGGGCAGTAGTAAACACTCCAGGGGCGTTAGCCTTAGATTTGGTGCTCTCCAGGTCTCAGCTCCATTGTGCCTCCCCTGGGCTTTCAGAGTTCCACTAGTCTGAACCCTCAGCTCCATGCTGACTCCATTCATTGTGACTAAGGCGACTTGTGGGGATGCACTAGAGACAAGTGCAGTTCATCAATATGAACTCTTGTTCGCTTGGTTCACTCCCTAAATTGGAGAGCAGTCTTTTTTTTTTTTTTTTTTTTTTTTTTTTTTTTCTTTTTCTTTTACAGTTTTAAGAATAAAAATGCATGAAGTGGGGTCCGAGAATGCAGCTCAGTGGTAGGAGTGGGTTCCATCCTCAGCATATAGAGTCAGTGATAACAGCAAAATGAAAGCGAATATGGCAGATAGATTTCTGTCTAGTCATCCAGGCAAATTTCTGCTGCTATTTTCTTTTCTTTTCTTTTTCTTTTTTCTAGAGGCCTGACCTGGAAGGAACCATTAGAAACTAGCAATCTGCCCTATGCACTCCTTTAATCCCTGACTAGGTCACAGGATCTTTTTATGCTGACCATGGTCAAGACAGGACATAGCTCTGAATCAATTTTCTTTCATCTTTGTGGTATAAATCTGTTACATATTTAAGACAGGAATGCAAAACTGAGGGGGAGTAAGTTTATTAATGCCACAGGATTTCTTTTCCCTTTTTCCACCTAAGCAACCAGGTCTGTGGTCCCGGGTCACCTGGCAGGTTAACCAGGTGGCCACTGCAGCTGTCGGCCTCCAAGGACGTGAATATGTAGGTGATACACGGACTGTGCGCCCATCTTCCCATCATTGACCACTGAAATGAGCTTGAGGTTAGGGGTCAATATCAGGAAAGGTCAAGGACTGAAGGTCACACTGGGAAATGGGGATTCATAGTGAGCACACCAAAGGACAAAAAAAAAAAAAAAAAAAAAAAAAATCACTCACCAAGTCGATACCCATCCTTCAGACCCTCAGCCTTCGCTATCTTCTTGGCCACAAGGAGTAAATGTCCTAGAAGCTACAGGGAGAGGAGAGGGACAGAGGTGGTTCCCTTCATAGCTTAATCCAGGGGTCCCCCCAGACAGGCCGCTGGCCCTGTTCTTCCCACCTGCTGGTCTTCTTCTTCAGCCTGGCTAATTCGAGGAATGGGCTTCTTAGGAATGACCAGAAAATGCACAGGAGCCTGAGGGGCCACATCACGGAACACTAGACACTGGGGGCAGTGACAGGTGAGAGATCACTGTTACTTCATCAGACCCAGTGGCACCTATGAAATTCTCAAGAGGGTTGGACCCTATGGGGGTCTTCACCTGCTGATCTTCATACAGAATGTCAGCTGGGAGGCTTCGGTCCAAAATCCGGGAGAAGATGGTTGGTGCTGCTCCTCCAGGAGCTGCTTTCTGGGCCTTGGCCACTTCATTCCCATCAGTCACACCTGCATTTCCCCGGACCTTCTGGGTGAACCCAAGGGAAAGAGCTGGCAGTAATTTTCCCCATAAACTTAGTTGGGGCTGGAAGAAGCTGGATTCTAAGAGTGTTTCTAACTTCATTCTCCTAAGAAGCTATTAGTGGTTTCACTTAGGGAAAGTCCCTGTATTTCAGAGCCTGAGTAGCAAAGGGTGGGTCAGATGATGGTAAGCCCGGTTACAGAACACACAGTACTATGAAGGATTTAGGAGTGCAATTGGTTCCTGCAAATGTGCTTAAAGAAATCCAGCACTGTACAGGTAAAAGGACCCAAAAATCTGTAATGCCACAGCACCTGGGATGGGGAGGCAGGAGGATCAGGAACTTGCCATTCTTAGCTACATAGGAACTTTTAGGCTACTGTGGGATACGTAAGACACTATCCCCAAAAGCAAACAAAACGACATTGAGGTCTCAGTTCCTATGCTACCATTAAACGCATCAGATAAGTCCCTGAGAGCTTCAAAGAATGGTTTGAGTTCCGTCCTAAGAGAGCTTGAAGCTCTTTACTGTTTCCACTTACTTCTACTATGCATTTTCTGATCTTTAAGCCATGTTTCTAAAATATGTTTGTCCTATCTGACATTGGCTGATCTCTCATTTGGGTGTCACATTTGATAACTTATTGTGCAGCTTTCCTGTTATACAGGCCAGGCTGCAGAAGCCCTGGTAATTTTGTTACCTCAGTCTCCTAAATGCCAGGATTTGCAAATGCAAGCATGTGACACTATGCTTGGCTTCTTACATTGGATTTTAATCCCAATAACTAGAATCAGCAGTTATGTAAGAATTCTAAGTGAACTCGGTTCTACCATAAGGGACAGGACATAAGACTATCCCAGTTTCCCTTCGGTTCAGAAGGCCGGAATCAGTGCGTTACACTGATGCGAAACTGGGATAAATCAAATCACTGCTGGAAAATGTGGAAGATGAAAGAGTAATGCTGGCGCTCATTGAGATCCGAGAACAGCCGGCTAACTCCCAGAGGGAGAGCTCACTTCCTGGAGGGGGCACGGCAGAGGCAGGCCAGAGCACGCCCAGGGCCATCATCATCATAAGCTCGGTCCCAACCGGGATGTCCCGGCTGTTCCGGGAAGTGGTCGCCGCCAGACCCCTTCTCGGTGACTTGACCGCAGAGTCCCTGATATTGACCCTTGGGAAAAGTTGTGGCTCTGCAAGGATGTGCGACGCGCGTGGCGGTCCCGGAAAGCGCCAGTGCCGGCAAGTCCCCCCTCTTCCCTCCTGCTGCTTCTCACCTGCGCCCCCCGGGGCCATGCGGCCGCCACGGTTCTGCGCGCAGTGCGCAAACCCACTGCCAGCAGCACGGCAGCAGCCATCTTCCCGCAGCCGGCCGCCTTGCACGCGCAGCCCTATTGGCGGCGTCTGGTTGGGGGCGGATCCTGCCGTGCAGCTCATTGGCTGCCTATGCCAAAACAGGCCCAGTTTTTGTTTAGTAGAGTGTAAATTCTTTTTCCATTGGATCCCTACTTAGTTTCGCTCTCAGATATATTCCCGCACCATTGGAAGAGCAAAATCTGGGGGTGGGATTTTTCCTAATGGGTTCAGGTTCACCAACTTAACCAAGCTTTAGTTGAGGCTCCTGAGTGGGTGGGACTTGCTCTTTTGAAGCCTGTTCCCCTTTAGCTCTGACCCCGGACTGGAAGAGGGCGGGGCCTCGCCACCTGCTGCACAAAAGGCTAATTGTAGCGCAGACCCTTCTCCGCACCGGCCAGGAGGGCGGGGTTCTGAGGACATTCGGCACTTATTGGTTCCAGAAGTCACACGGGCGGGGCTAAAAGCGAACTGGAACCAGTCTTTTTAATCTGTAGGGTAGGTACCTAACCATTTCAGTTCTTTAATCACTTAAAGATCTAAAGCATATTGTATGGAAGTATTTAAGTATTTTTTAGAAATTTCGGTCAGTTTGTTTTATGTTCTTGTCCCATTTACACCAATATTATGCAGTCAGTTTTCAGGGCATCTACCCCCACCCCTCCAAACAGGTGAGGATAGGAGCATCCTATGTATGTTGTACTATGCATGACAGTTTTTCCCCCTTCATAAGTGGTGTGTGGTGCCCTTAGTTCAGTAAGGCAGTGAGGCAAGTTTGCTTTGTATACATACAATTTTTTTTTTTAAATTATGTATGTGTCTGCCTGTGGGTTATGTGCATGTGAACGTGTCCATGGGAGGTAGAAGGCACAGGATGACCTGGAACTGGAGTTACAGGCAATTGGGACTCACCTGGTGGTGGTGCTGGTAGCTGATTTCCTGTGCTCCCCAAGAACAGTCTGTGCCCTTAACTGCTTAGCTAGCCATCTCTTCAGCACTTAGAGATTTATGTGTATGTGTGTGGGTGAATGTACAAGTCCGTGTGGGTGCCTGCAGAGTCCACAAGAAGGTATCAGAGATTCTGTAGAGCTGGAATTACATACAGGTTTGTTGTATACCACCAGATGTGAAGCAATTTTCAGCAATATAAGAGCAGCAAATACTCAAGCACTGAACCATCTCTCCATTTCTTTATATTTTGAAATAAGAAACACAGTATTCCACTTGAGGGTCAGAGGCACTCCTGAGTTCCAAGCCAGCTTGGTCTATGTAGCAAAATTCATATAATTTTGCCCTGGGGTTCTATCAATCTAGACTGCATCCCTTCCTTTGTGGAGACAGATAACCCTTTCTAATGATCAGGAAATGTAGGGTCACCTTGCCCCTGAGCCCTAGGAGTGAAAGCTGCCCCAGAGAAGGGCAAGAGGTCAGTGGAGCTAAGATGAGGATAGAAATCTAGGGGGCACAGAGCTGTCAAGCTGGATATTTTTTGGAGTTTTATGGAGTGCAGGGAACACAGGTTGTTCCTGTCATATATGTAGCAACTGAGGCCCAAAGAGGAAACATAGCATCACAAAGCCCACCAGTGTCTGTCCTACGCCATAAAATCACCTAGGGTGTTCCCTTACTCCCTGGCATTGACAATTTTGATGCAGACTACAGCTTCTTTATTCCAAACACTTGCCATCACCTACAACTGCTTTCTGAAAGGTGCATGGCATGCTCTGCAGACCCCATCCACTGCCTCCTGCGCTGCAGCCCGTGCCAACACACCTACTCCAGAACCTCACTAGAGATTTCTTGTTCCTATGAGAGCAGTTGTTTCCCAGCATCACTTCTCCCCATTGTAACAGCCCTTCACGTCTTCAGGACCCTCACTTTTGCCTTCTTTTCCTCACTATCCTGACACCATTCCATCAGCCCCATTGGCCTAAATAGTTTTGCCTCTCTAACCAGATTCTCACTTCCAACCACAACAAATCCTAAACTATGCGCCTGTTATGATTTTTCCTGGATTCCCCACCTTATCCTCCCTCAGTCTCCGTTCCCCACGAATCTTTCTCTTGCTTCACAGATAATATATAATGTCACCAGAGGGGAACCTCTAGGAGGTCCTCCTTTCTGCAGCTCACACTCCCTTCTTTGTCCAAGAAACGAAGTCTCTCTTCATCAGAGAAAATGCCTTCACCTCTGCATTAACCTCATCCCTGTTTCCTCCTTATCTGAGATCTTGTCTCATCAAGCATCTCTTCTCCCTTCTGCATCCTTCAAGATCTTTTTGTATATGCGCTTCTTCTCAAAAAGTTGTTTCCTTCATTTATAGCCTGGGTATTGTTTGATTTCTTTCTTCTACTTCTTACTCAAGCTCCTTGAAGAGACTCCTTCAAATTAATGGATATTTGGCATTTGCTTCCACCAAGCCAGTGTGAAACCACACTGTGTGAAACCACACTGTCCAAAGCTTCCAAATAACTACAATGTCTTTGCCTTATGGAACCCCAGCTACATCTGAAATCACTGGCTATTCTATTCTTCAGACATCCTCCCTCCTTGGCTTTCTTGAAGCTAGTCTAGTGTCAGGGCTGGCAGCTTGAATGTGGCCATGACAGAGGAAGATGGCTGGAGCAGCCTTCATTCTGCTTGGTGCTGTCTCTTGCCTATAGTTAGAGCTGACTCTAAATTGAGTCTTGACACTACCTGTCCCATATGGAGCCAGGTCAGATTCTACTGGCTTCCACTTTTATTGTTGATCTTGGCTAAGCTCAGAAAGGCCTGTGCCAGTTGTTGACAGTGTCTGTCCCTGGGGAGGGAAGAACAGAGGTGAGAGGGTCAGGTGTGGGGGTCAGGTTTAGGACCAGGCTGGAAGCTGCTTGGACCAGGGAGTTCAAGGGATCTAGGGTGGGAACTGGGCTGGCCAGAGACACCCTGCATCTGGAGGGCCTCAAGGTCAGAGTTGGTGAGGATGACATCTCGGAGGACAGGCATCTCTGCAAAAGGCACATAGTCTGCTCCTGGGGATGGAAAGCAGTGCAGGCACGGGATGTGGGGTGGGCTGGGGATGTAAGACCTGGAGAGGAGTTGGGGGAGGGTGGGAGTGCCTGCCTGCCCTTCTGATTATAGATACTGGCATGGTCCCCTGTCCCACGTTGTTCCCTCACCACAAGGTCTCCCTCCTCTTCGCCTGGTCTCCTCAGTCTCAAAGAAAGTCTCATGTTCCTCCCAGCGCCGGTCACAGGCAGCACAGAGGAAATTTGACTCAAAACAGTTGCAGCAACACCCTATGGCAAAGGTGCACCAAGAAGAATATAAGGGATTAATGGCATCCCCATGAGTTGACATGGTCTCACATCATCTTCATCTTAAATCTGCTTCTCCCTGCCCACGCTCCCCTTTGCACGAGAGGTTACCACGGTGCCTGCAGGGATGAGTTCCAGTGGCAGCATGTTCTTCATGAGTATGTTTACAACGACATTGGGCTCTCCAGGCTTTGGGATCGAAGGTAGCCCGTCTCTTAAGCCAGAACTCACCCACCTCCTCTGGGCGTGATGGGATGAAACAAAACATGAGGCACCTGCATTGGCTCACACTGCAGGGCACCGACAGATCTGGGAGGATGGGGATGGTGGAGAATTAGACCAGCACCTGGAAGAACCTGACCTCCCTATGCAGATCCATGTTCATCTCTCTGTCTCTCTCTCCAAGACATGAAAGAGTATACTAGCCCTTTCATACTTGACAAGTCTGGCAACTTCTTTCCTACCTGAGATGATCTGGTGTTCTTTCAACAAATGTCCACAAAAACACTTGGACTCATCTCCAATCCGGAAGCAGTCCCATAAGTAATGGGGGCAGCGCCAGCCAATGTAGAGACCTATATATTGAGGGATTAATAGGGAAGAATGAAAAAGAAAAAATCTTAAGCTCCCTGCAAGTGTTCTGATGGATCCCTGGATTGGGGTTGAGAACCCCCCCCCACCATACCCTGCCCACTAGGGAGCCCTGTCTCCGCTAGGGAGCCCTCACCTCTGGCCCTTACACTTATTAAAGTTTTATTATCCCAGAGTATGATTGTTTCCCTTCCTATCCCAGGATCCACACCATGTCTGTTAGTCTTGTTATGAGCACTTTCCTGCCAGCCTGGTCCCATAGCCCCATCAGCCCCAAAATAACACACAGAGACTCTATTAGTTATAAAGCTGTTAGCCAATGGCTAGAGCTTCTTAGTGGCTAGTTCTGTCTTAGCTGTTAACTCATTTCTATCAATCTAAGTGTTTCCATGTGGTCTTACTGGGGAGAGAGGGAGAGAAGGAGGAGAAGGGAGGGAGGGAGGGAAGGAGGGGGAGAGAGAGACAGAGAGTCCGGACCTCTTATTCCTCTCGTGGCCTACATCTTAACTCCTCTTTACTACCTCTCCCAGAATCCTCCTTGTCTCCTAGTACTGCCTATCTTGCTTTCCTATTTGTCAACAGTGCTTTATTCATTAACCAATAAGAGAAACATATTTACAGAATGACATCTCCCATCATCTCCTCTTTTCTGTCTAAAATAAAAAGGATTTTAACTTTAACATAGTAAAATATATATCAATAAAATATATATCAAAACAGTTATCAAATAAGAACTATTGTTAATATTTAATCCATTAACATTATCAAGAATTAAAGAAAATATTCTATCATTTATCCTATCTTTGTGAGTCTAAAGTCTTATATGTAACTTATCTTTAATCCTAACTAAGGAAAACTATAACCATAACTATGTCTTCAACTCCTTCAAAGACCACAGAAGGATAATTTATAAATTCTAGAAATGACAGAGACATCTTACTGCTTGGCCAGTCACCCAAAGTTCTTCTGTTTCATCTTCAGCCCATAGGCCATAGTGTGTCTGGCAGACTCCTCAGCAAAGCAGGAAACTTTAAACTGTTCGCCTGTGTTGACAGTTTGTCAGTTACTTTTTTCTGTGTGCTGTAGACTGTGGCAGACTCTTCCACGAAGCAGGAACCCTGTAGCAATGTCCAGTATCAGCAGTCACTTCCCTGTGGGTTCTGCACGTCTACTTTATAAAGCATTTAGTTAAACAGTCTAGACAAGAGAAGTATCTTGCCCAAGTGGCTAGTCTTGCCAAATTGGAAGCAAACTGCATAACGAGTTTCTTCGATGTCCATCTTTCTTTCTGATATAGTTGGTGTTTCCAGGAGCAGTTGTGTCTCATTGTTAAGAAAACCCTAAACCATTTAAAATGCCATATTCTGTAGGTCTTTGAAAGGTTTGAAGAACGCCTATTCAATTGAAATATATCTCTGTATATCTATAAAAACCTAACAAACCTAACTATAAGTTTTGACTATTATAGGTAACTATAATCTGTACTAAATTATACATTACATTTTTAAATGGGCTACATAAACACAATACTTCAACAAAAGGAGAAATATACATACCACAAAATTGACCTTAATTTTGTATCAATAAATGAAAATCCATTCCAAAACAAAGTATTCATTTCTATACCATAATCCCCTTTTTGCCTTTACAAGGGGGATTATCTTTAACCATATATAGCCATCCCCATTTAGGTAAAAACAAACATTTATAAACAATATTTGGGAATTTGGAATGCCATCTGCCATTGCAGTCTAAATAAGAAAAGCGAAGGTAGTGTTCTATTTTAGAGCAGGGAGATTATAGATGCCACTGAAGATGAACACAAGGCCCAGTGACTGTAAAATGTCTTACCTCCTCTCCTCTTCATGCTAGAGTCCAACCTTTCTGAAGTGTTTATGGAGAGCAAGAGAGAAGCTAACTGGTCAGGTGGATAGTTGGTGATAAGGACTGGCTCCCGAGGAGGACTATTAGTGAGGGACCCAGAGAAAAGGTGGGAGTTAGACAGAACTTGTGTCAAGAAGTGGGAGGAAGCCCGTCCTCTAACTCTCCAGGCTGACACCTCTGTCATCCCTTCTGTGTCCCAGTGTTATGTAATGAATGCCCTTTATGATCCTGAGAAGGGAGGCTGATGTCTGATGGCTTTCCAGAGATCAGGAGAAAGGGACAGGCCAGAAAGTCATGGCTGGAAGACCAAAAACAAAACAAAAAGTTTCAAGGAATGGAAAGGGAATATGGTCAGGAAAGTGAGGCTAGCATCCCCGAATGCAGGCACTAGCAGGTGGCTACAAGTTCCTGGTTTTAGCAGTGGGGTCTCAAAGACTCCAGCTCCATGGCAAGTCCTATCACAAGTCAAGGGCAGCGCTAAGAGGTGACAGGAGAACTGGACAGCACCTCCTGTTTATCATCTCATTCTTCATGAGAGCGGAGAGAATCCCAGTTTTTGTTCAGAATCTTGCTTGAGTCCCCCTGGGGGACTACAGCTGTAGGACTTATACCTGTTAGAGGCTTCAACAGAAAAGTCACCTCTTCTAAAAGTTGTCTCTGGCTTCCCCACAAGAGAAGGGTCTATATTTTCATCCATATCTCTAATCCTGCCATGAGAGAGATGTCAGAGAAGATAGGCTGTCTGACTGAAGACAAACAGTTCTATGCCTCAGCCAGGTGTTCTTGTCTTACCCATAGTGCATAAGGTTCTAAAACCTGTTCAGGTGTGGCTTTTGGCTTGGCTGTTTCGAGTGCCAGGACCCTGCGGTACCTGGAATGTTTGGTTGAGAGCACAGGGAGAAGCAACGTCACAATGGGTGGGTGGGAGCCAGGGCTCCACCAGAGGAGTTCTGAACTCTACAAAAGCTGAACACAGTGGTTGAGCAGCTGATGTGCAGACGTGAATCCGAGTTTGCCTCAAGATCAAAACTTGGCCGGCCTTAGCATGGATGTGGGAATCAGTGTCTAACATTCAGATGAAGAGTTTGAATAGAGGCTTGAAAGAATATCTCAGATTCTGTTCTCCTGTTCTGTTCTGTTCTGTTTTGTTCTGTTCTATTCTGTGTTCTTAAAGTGGAGAAACTGGCTTCTGGCTCAGGACTCCGTTTTGTGATTCCAAACTCTCCTCCTGTTAGGAGTGGACTAGGCAGGCAGAGATGTTATCTTGGATGCCATTCTGACTCGGCACAGCTGCATAGTCACGCTTGTAATCAACTCTTGATCTCTAGGTTTCCATACTGCATACAGCTGTCTTTACATGAGGGATGCATCTCCATCCTAGGTCTCTCCTGGGCTTCAGAGTCACAGGGCCATCTGTCTATTACATGCTCACCAGCATGTTCCATTAAACAGTTACCCAGTTTTCATCTCAAAGCCTCTCAACCTTTGTCTGTAGTTCACCAGGCTTGTATGTGCCCCACATCTGTTCTCACCTCACTCAGGCAAGCCAAAAGCCTAGATGATGTCACCCCAGGTATTTAACATTTGACGCTTACTCTACACACCCAGCAATCCTATACTCAGGTTTGCCTTGTCAGTGTTGCCTAGACCTCTCCATCTGTCTCTACTGTCACCCCATGACTTTTTGATTATTACCAGTGTTTCAGTGGAGTCTTCCTGTGTTCAATCTTGCCTTCTCCTGCCTACTCTACTGCCAGAGTGATCATTTAAAAGCACAAATCTGTTAGTTGTCCTATTTTAAAATATCTTGGTGATTCTCAGGTGCCCTTGGGATATAACTATGACTCCACATTGGCACAAAAATCCCTTCACAGTTCTCAATTTCCAGAGCTGAGTTAGTGTCCACCCCCACCAACATTCTTGTACAAGGCAAAACACTACAGTTCCCTAAGATTCTTTGGCTTGTCATATCTCTTTTATTTTACTTAAAATTTTATTTTGATAGGCTATTTTTATTATGTAGTCCAGGCTGGCCTGGAACTCACCATGTATACTGTGATAACCTCAAACTTGTGATCCTCCTGCCTCAGCCTTCCAAGTGCTGGGCTCATAGACACCATACCCTGATTGACTATCTTTTCTTACCCTCTCACAGATATTAGCTTTAGAAATCTTTTATCCCAGTGCTTATTATTAGTCTAGCACCCAACTGAGTACTTCTTTCCTCTGTCTCTGCAAGACTCTGGGCATAGCAATTTGTTGCCTAAATTATAATGGTCATTTTATCTATTGGCATTGCTTATTGGAGAACATGTTGTCTGAGGGATCTTTGTTATTTGTTTTGTTAAGGTGGGGTCTCACTATGTAATTGAGGGACAAGGTTTATCCATGAGACCTTTCTTGCCCTACTGCTTATACAACTACAACTCAACAGTTGGCATATAGTCGGTGCATAAAAACTGTTAAAAGAATTTTTAGAAAATCCTATAATTCAAATTTCTCTGCATATAACATATTCTTTGGGATTCTTGAGTCAATCTTCAACATCAGAAGGATACAGACTGCAAATATCTTTGTGTAGGATAGAGTACACAAAATAGTTGTTTAAGCAGGAAAACACACACATTTAAAGCAAAGAAGAAATACAGAGGTCTTGAAGAATGAGGAGTGGACAGGAGGATCTAAAAGACTAAAGAGGGGACTAGACAGAAGCTGTATTTGCAAGAAAAATGTAACAGTAATGGATGTAAATATAACTAAACAGAGATTTCATTGTCAGTGGAAACTCAGAAACAGAGATGAAGGGAGAGGGTCCCTGCATGGAAGTGGGGTTGGTAAATTACATGAAGGAGGATAAGAGTATAGGATTTTTTTAGTTGTACATAAAGGAGGATTTTTATAGTTGTCTTTCTATCTTAGTCCTGTTGATGTAGTTATACTTCCATCATAAGCAGAAGAGAAGTATGAAAGTTCTGAGCCAATATAGTGCTTTCTATTGGATTCATCTAGACAGTTCAGAATCATAGAGGATCAGAGTGGCCTTCCTACTGAGATTAATAATCCTTAAAATGGTGACATAAGTAGACATGCTTACATGCACTACCATGTGTTTACACAGCTCATCTGCACACTCATCACACAGATACAACTTCCACTCACAGGACTACCAAGAGTTCCTATTAGATATAGCTCAGTGGGTAATATGCTTGTCTAGCATACACAAAACCCCAGCACCATGAAAAACCAGCTATGATGGCACACACATGTAACCCCAGCACACAGGAAGTAGAAGTAGGAGGGTCAGAAGTTCAAGATCATCCTTCAAGGTCATCATTGACCTTGCCTCCTCCCGCTTTGCAGATGTGTCCACATTGGCCTGGGTGGAAAGCCCTGGAGAGGGGTGCTTTGGGAAATGCTCAGATTCGGGGGCCTGAGTCTGTGGGGCTTTATCAAAATAAAGTTTGAGGTTAGGCTCATGGCCTAGGTTACATGAGACCTTGTCTCAAAGGGGGGTTACTAATTCTGAGCTGGAACTTGAACTCAACAGGATTATAGGGCATATATCTCTTCTTTGATGGGGACCCTCAAGGGATTTAGATACTCATGTGGTCATGGATCTGTCATGCAGAAGTGACAGTCTTTAATGGAGTAAAAGGACCAAATCTTTTGCCATATTCATATGAGAACAAGGCTCCTAGAGACTGCCCAAGGTCCTGGGGCCACCTTTGCCCTAGGTTTGTTCTGGTATAGACTATCTGGGTGCTAGATATTGGGATGGCTCTCAATTCTTCTGTTGGTAATGATTTTAGTTACTTTAGTCCATCTATCTATTGCTACTTAAACTTTTATGAAATCTCCACTGTTTTCAGGCTAGGCCACCTGCTCCCCTTACAGATTCCAGGCAGATGACATGGCCATTTCCACATTGAAGGGGAAGGTTCCCAAATCTGTTGGACTGGAAGTTGTCCAGGGGGCTGTTACAGGTCTCTGGAAAGCTACTAGAGCACACCTGTCTGGATGGCCTTCAGGGCTGAATCCTTCTCCCATTGGAAAAGATTCTTCACTTGAGCACCAAATTTCTCTCTGTGCATTGCCTTAGCCACATCCACCAGCTCTGCCCGCTTAGCAGGGACCACTGGGCGGCTTGTGTAACCTGGGAATGGAGGGGCTGAGTAACCAGGGGGTCAGTGAAAGGACCTTAAAACTAAGAGGAACCATATGCAAGAGCAGCCCAGTCCCCCCACCTCTGGGTAAGTCAAGGACAGTGCAAGAGTCACAGGGACAGGGGAAATGCAGGGACAATTACCACTGACTCTTTTCTCCTTCTTCTTGCTTGCATGAGGCGTGGCTGCATGAGCAGTGACATCACTAGTCCCCACAATCAGCGCATCCTCTTCTGCCTCCTCCCGCTTTGAAGATGTGTCTACAGTGGCCTGGGTGGAAGGCCCTGGAGAGGGGTGCTTTAGGAAATGCTCAGATTCGGGGGCCTGAGTCAGTGGGGCTTTATCAAAAGAAAGCTTATAGGAAGACACAGAGATAGTGTTTGTTGGTGAGGACTGAAGAGGTGATTGTACCTTAGAGATAAGAATCTCATATGCACTGTTCTCTAAAGGAATCTCGGTGATGGCTTTTTCTAGAGAGGCCACAGACTGGGAAGACTTTGAAAGGCTTACAGAGACTTGGTCCTTTAAGGAATCCTGGGATGCTTTGGAAAGAAGCTTAGTGGTATATAACTGTAAAGGAGGTTCAGAGAGAGAAGAGTTCCAGAGGTCCTCAGAGGCTTCAGTATCAGGGTTCGGGGAAGCAGATGTCCCAAAGAGGGCTTCGAAGTCTGGAGGCTGTAAAGATGCCTGTGAGCTGGAGAGCTCCAAGGCAGTTTCAGGGCTAGTGGGTTCCTGCAAGTTTTCAGCAGAGGGGTCCTTTGAGGAAGATTTCTTTGCATCTTTGGTGGCTTGAGGATCTTCTGTGATCTCATTTGCTTCCATCTAGTGGTAGAATAAGGTACAGGCTTCATTAGGTTGAGGGTGGAGGGTCTCTAAGTCAGGGCAGAGTCCCAGGGTTCACAAATGTTACAGGATAAGAAAAAATTTACTAGTGCACCTAAGATATCAGAAGTAAGAAAGAATAATTCTGGGTTTCAGGGTGCAATGCCAGGAGTTTCATTCATGTGCCCTCACATGGCATACTATTGTAGGTTGGCAGAGAGCTCGAATTTAAAGATGGAAAGACAGAAGCTGCCAGAAGCCTATCAGTAGACTATGCCCCCAGAAGGGAGCCCCAACAAACTACTTGGCCAATCTAAGGGCAGAGTCTGGGTCATGTCTTAGGACCATGGAGTGCCAGAGTCTGAAGAAGAAGCCAGAGTTGGGGGTTGGCTTTGAGGTGTGCAGGAGAATGCCACAGGGCACACAGCAGGGCTGTCTATACTCTGCTTCTGTCCAGGCACACACATCCTCCCTTGGCCTCATTCATATTCAAGGCTTCCCAAGTACATGCTGTGTGTGCATTCTCATTTTCTCTGTCTGTCTCTGTCTCTCTCCCTTTTTTCCCCCTCTCCAGACAAGGTCTTACTATATAGCCCATGCTAGGTTTCTATGTAGCCCAAGCCCAAGCTGGTCTGAACTCCTTGTAGGTCTCCTGCCTCAGACTCTTGAGCATGATATTATAAAGGTGCATCTCTATGCCTGGCTACCATCAACTTCTAAATCCACACCGCTAACTCAGATCTCTTTATTCCCTTGTGCTTTTGGTGCTTCATGCCAGAAATTTTCAACTGGATGTTCTACAGGCTTCAGAAACTGACTTTGGAAATACATCTTCCAAACACTCCTTAGATGTATCATCTTCTCTGTATTCCCTCCACTTGGTTCATGTTCTTATGATTGTCTACCTGACTGTACAACAGCATTGCCTCTCCACTACCATATCCAATGTATTTCTCCACTCTGTCTTTCATTTATGAAACTTACATTTTATAAACAGCCTAAACCAACACTTTACTCAGGCACCACGCTGAGCATTGGGACCAGAGGAGCATGGGAAAAAGATAATGTGGCACACAGTGACAATATGAATGGCTTATCTCCAGGATGCTGTGGAAAGGGAGGATGCCTAATTTACACTAGGAAGATCCAAGAGGGGGCTCTCTTTCCCTTTCCAGCAAGATCTTTTGAACACACAACACATTGACTCAGACTAAAGGATTACACCCAAGTTTCTTGGCCCTGACATTCAAGGTCTGTTATGCTTACACCTGACCCTTTTGAATGCTAAGGACTGAGTGACAGCCTTTGTATGCTGACAAGTACTCTATCCCTGAGCTACACCCTCAACCTTTGGTCTTTTGAGACAGGGTCTCACTATATAGACTTGGCTAGCCTAGAATTTGCTGTGTAGACCAAACTGGCTTTGAGCTGGTATCAATTCTTCTGCCTCTGTTTCCACGTGGCCTTCCAAAACAGACTCTGCCATCACCTGCAAGTGATACCTGAGGATTCTTGTGTTTCATGGCTTCTTAATTCTCCCCATGCATCAGAGACAGTAGCTATCTTAAGATGCTATATCTTAATCTCATTAGAGAGATGGTTCAGCAGAGGACCTGCGTTCAGTTCCCAGAATCCATACAGCAGCTCACAATAGTCTGTAACTCGGGTATTAAGGGATCTATCTGGCCACCAGAGGCACTGTATGCATGTAGTAGTGTACAGACATTCATGTAGGCAAAACATCCATATACATAAAATAAAACTAAAGGTAAAAAGTACTTAGGCTAACTGGAGTCTTTTTAAAGGGCAAAGTATGGAAGGTGCAGAGTTAGGATGATGAGGAGAAAGTGAGTGGGTGGGATAATGATGAAAAGTAGAGGATGAGTGGGGGGCATAAGGTGATAGGAGAAGGGATGCAGGACAGGGTTGGGGTGGAGGGCTGTGGGAAAACTACATACCTCTGGGCTTAGGCTTGGTGGTCTTGGTGGTTGCAAGTCCTTTCTTAGGTCAGGATCTTTATGTCAGGAGGGGGAAGTATTGGTCCTGACCGAGGGAATGAATCGTTTTGCTTTTGATGAGCCAGGCTGTAGTTGCTAAATGAGAGGTCTTGTTAAGTTTATTGGGGAGACTTGGGCATCTGCAGACCTTCGCAAAGGGACTCTGGCCCGATTTGACGAAGGGGCAGTAAAGGGAAGGGGTAAGAGAGGCCCAGGGCCCATGAAGGATGTACTTGACTGAAGCCTCTAGAACCCAGGCCGGGAGGGGATGGGCATCGATCTCCAGGGCAACCGGAACGCCCAGTAGTTTCCATGGCAACAGTAGCCGGGTGAGGTTTTTCTGAAGGGGCTGCTTTGGATCTGGTTAGGACCTTAGTTGAACTGTGTAAGCCGTGCATAGGAGTGGGAGGAACATGGTGTGAGAGGAACCTGGTTTTGTGAGTTTCTGGAAGGTTCCTGTACCATTCTGGCGTTCACTGGAAGCTGTGAGGATCTGAGAGGTCACCCGGGATCTGTGGTTAGGGTGAGACCCAAGCTCTCAAGTAGGTAGCCCAGCAGGGTTAAGTTAGAGGCCAATAAAACTGGGCAGGGCGGGCTTTGCTGCGAGGGACCAATCGAATGGGGCGCGGGGCGGAGCGCCAGGCGAGCGTCACGCCGAGGACGCCGCGGGGCCTGCTTATCGCCGGTTCCGCGCAGCCCGGAGTCGCCCAGGCCTGAACTCCTACCCAGGTCCCGGTCCCGACCCCGGGCCCGCGAGGACGCCGGAGGCCACCCCCCGGGGGTGGGGAGCGGAGCCGCGGGTCAGCTCTGCGAGCGTCCCGTGCTGGCCTGGCCGGCCCCGCCCCCGCCCCGGGCCATGGCCCAGCCCTTGTCCCGGCCCCTTATCCTATCCCAATCTCAGCCTTGGCCTCCGGCCACGCCCTCGCCCCGCTTCCCAAACCTGCCCCGGCCCAGGCCCACGTCCCAGCGAATGCCCAGGTCCAGGTCTCCGCTCCAACCCCAGTCCCTGCCTCTGGCTTGGCCGCTGTCTGCGCCTCGGCCCGTGTTCCAGCCCTTGTCACAATTCCCAGCCCAGCATCTAACCCTGTCCCATTCTCAGCGTTTGCTTAAGCCCCTCGCCCAGCACCAGCCCTTGCTCTCGCCCCCATCACACCCACTCCTCCCATCACATCTTCTGCCCTTGTTTGAGCCCCAGTGCTCAGTCCAACGCAACCCAGTATCTCAGCCTTTGCCCCCATCTCTTTGTGTGCCCAAGTCTCTTCCACTGGCTCCCCGCCTCTCTCATACTCTGCCCCTCTCCCAGCCTCGACTCAGGTCTGGGCTCCTCCAGCTGCCTTCAGCCCTATTGCTGCTGTTGCTGTTTTCTGTCCTTGGTCCAGGGGCTGGTGAGTGCAGAAACAGATTGAGAAAAGGATGGGGTTCCAGGGAGGGGTGGCTTGGAAAGAGTCAGGAGAGGTGGGACTTGGGAGACTAGGTCACTGGGGGAAGAAGTGGTAGGGAGGGGGAGAGAAGGGCCAGCTTCAAGTGGTGTTGCTCAGCTAGTTCAGCAGGTGGCTGTAGTCCCCAAAGAGGTCTGGGAGTTCTCATTTCTTGGTGTGGATCCTGACCCCTTGGGTCTGGCTTTCGATGGGAAGTCTTGGGGGCTTCGCACCTTCTGCAAAGTTTTGTGGAGATAACATAGTCCTGTAGAACACAAGCTTTGATTCTCACCCTAGACGTGGCCTAAACCTTTGAGATACCAAGCACACGTTGTAAAAGGGTTAAAAAAAAAAAAGAAAGAAAGAAAGAAAGAAAGGAAGGAAGGAAGGAAGAAAGAAAGAAAACACTTTTGGAGACAATATGCTGCATTGCATAGATGGATGTGGGTTAGTTGCCATTGTAATGAGCTTTCTTCTTGTGCTGGGTCTTTTCCCAAGCAAGTGTCACTGGACTACAGATAATGCTTGATACTTTTAAAGCATGGCTGAGCCTCAGCAGCATTCTACAGATGGGGAAACCGAGGCTCAGCGAGGGAGTAAATTGTTCAAATTGTATCGTGTATAAATGGCAACAGTAAGGCTAGAAAAAAAAGGTTTCCTAGTTCCTACGACATTCTGGTTGATTCCTTCCCCTCTTCCTCCTCCCTCTGACTACATTCCAGGCCCAAGTACTCCTCCATTGGCCCAAAGTGTAATCTCTTTTCTCCCTAGTCTGTCTGCAGGGAGGCTTAATTCATAAACTGCTTTTCATTTGTCAGGTGTCAACCTATATCCATCTTTAGTCTAAGAAGTCATTTGGTTGGGAGGGGGTGGCTCAGCTTCTTAATGGCTGGAATGAGGGAAGCAGCGAGGGCCCTAGCCTAAGGGCAGAGAGGGTCTTCTCATGAAGTGGCTAGTGTTGATGGCCTCAGCCCCAAGCCACCTTTGCTGAGTGGCACTCTAGAGAGGACAGAGATGAGCTCAACAGTCTTTGGCAATAACAGCTGTGGGTGGAGGTGGGTTTCATTGATCTCAGTGGTACAGCTTCTGTGTACAGCTTGAGATCAATGCCTTCCAAAGGTTGCAGTCCTGCAGAGATGTGTGGGCACTGTGTAGCCGTGTGTATAGTAGGCATCTGTGGGAATGGTGTGTGTGCAGCATGGGGTCGTGCTGACATGTTGGTGACATGTATTTTATCTGAGCTGATGTGTGAGGGTGAGGGGACTTGTGGTATGGCACACACACTCTTCATCTTATGAACAGATCACTGAAGGAAGGACCCTGAGTGGAGGAGTAGACAGCCGCTGTTGACGACAGTGCAGGACGGGCACTCACAGAAGCAATCAAGAGTTTTGGTTTTGATGAGGGGACTTTGCACACACACACATAGGTGGTGGAAAACCACCTTCGTGTTATTGTTGAAGGGACATCAGGACAAGTTCGTTTAGACTTGGATGAGGTCTTGATCATGCTCTTTTCTGGGACATGGTTCTGGTAGGCCCTGTTCAAATCTCAAATCAAAGTGTGAGGAGATTAGGGCTGTTTCCCAAAGGTCCACTCTGCCTCCAAACTCCTTCCAAGTTCCTCTCAAAGCTCCAAGCTGCTACTTACTCCTTTTCCTACAAGCACAGCCTGTCACACCCCACCACCCCCGTAGCCACTGGTTTTCTTGAGGTTGGCTTAGGCAGTTCCCCTGATTCTCCAGGCCAAGCAAGCTCTTTTCTTTGTGCTGGCCTGGTGCTAACTTTAAGAGGAGCAATCCTTCCCTAACCCCAGCAGAGGGCACTCCAGAGCTCTTGATTCCTGTAACAATAGTATTCAAGGCTGTTCAGTTTTGGGCCTCCAGGAAGCAGAGCTCCTAGGAAGCTGTCTTCTCCATTATTTAGTCCCGCTGCAGTTCATGTGCCTTGGATACACTGCCTGAGTGCAGTTCTGAACTCGCTAGGTTGCTGGGCAGTGCTCAGCTTGCAAGCTGGCAGTTTTTCTTGTTGAAATTGGTCATGTGGTTGGCACAGGAGAGCCTAGTCCTTTGGTGCTGTCACGGCCTTTAAGCCATTCTGGCCAGTGCCTTCTACTTGTATAAGGCAGTGTAGTGTGGCCAACCTACCCTTCTTCAGCAGCCACCTTTTTCCTGATGCCCCATGTCTCTGTTACTTAAAATACCTCATTTTGGGGGTCACGACTCGCATCTCTAGAGATAGGGATCATCAGATTAGGTAAGCCCAATGGGTATTTCTCGCGTGTCTGGAATCTCCTCTTCAGAATCCCGCCTCCAACCTCTATGGTACCTTGGAGATGATAGAGTTTCCCCAGCTTTCCACCTGTCCAGGAACACATTCCCGGGCTTCTTTGAAACTGTTTTGAAATGGAGGGGGAGGGGGTGTAGTGAGAGGACATTAGAGCATTTTTATATGGGGGCACTGCATTTGGGAGCTACCCACTCCTATCATCTGAGCTATGAATTACCTTCACTGCTATAACACTCCTGTTTATAATGTGCTTGTCTGGTTAGGGCCTATGGCTTTCCAGCCCACTCTGGCTCTGCTCATGACAACTGTGATCAGGGATCTGAGCATTTGGGTAGAGATACCCACCTCCTCCCCAGCCTGGTCTAATCCAAATTTTCCCAAGTGATTTAGGGTACCACTGAGTTACCAAGTGACTGCCTTCCAGGACCTCCTCCTGGGAGAACACCCTGGCCTCTCATTTTGACCCTAGAGGGTCTGGTCACTCTCCTTATTCGGTCACTGCCGTGGTGGCCTGCCAGCTCCTGTTCTTGACTCTGCCACCCAAGCAGCTCCTTGCAGCCCCACCACACCTTCCCCTCCCATCTTCTGCCCTGGGCTCATATACAGACGGCTCTTGTGAAGCTTCTGAGAATTTTTACTGCCCCTAACCGCTGGGGAAAAGAGAAGGGCAGAAAACAAACAAGTTACACAGTTCTGTGCTGACTCTCAAGCCCCACAGGTGGAGTTCTAGCTTGCTCAGTGGCTTAAGAGCCTATGCCAACACACACACACACACACACACACACACACACACACACACACACTTGCACACCCTGTTTTGTTAGGCTTGGTGAGAGGAGAATTAATACCTCCTAAGTGAGTGAGTATGAAGTCATTGGAAAGGCCCAGTTTAAATCCTCAGTTTTCCATTTTTGCGATATGAACTTTTTAACAAATCAGATGCTGGCTAGGGTAGCATAAGCCCAGCTCCTAGCTGGTGGGGTGTGCTTGTTGACTTGGTACTATTGGTGGGAAACACGGGCTTTGCCTGCTACGGAATGGAAATGCCTGCCCGTGTTCCTCCTGCTGACTACTTGTGCATCCTAGGAGGCCTTTTCCTGACCGATTATTCCACCTGCTCGCCCCGCAAGCTCAGCCCGTTTCGCTCCTTTGCCAGCACCGAGCTCTTCCACTTCCATGTTCCTGAGGACACATTCCTGGCTGTTTGGAACCTCATCATCTTCAAAGAGCAGGGAGGGACCTTTGGGGACCACTGCCCAGATCAAAGTGTGACTGTGTAAGTGTTTGCCTACCCTTCTGTAACCCATTTTCCAACTCTAGTTACTTTCCAAGCTGAAGTATGACTTTTTGAGGTCAAAACATTGCCTCCTGACCCTGAACCTTGACCCTTGTCCAGGTTGAAGTCTTACTGGGGGCCATAACCTCTGTCACCTGACCACTTGTAACTGCTGACCTATTGTCCCATATGAACTTGACCATTTTGTGGTATATGTCAGTATAGGGAGCCTGTTTGTTTACTGTGATGAATGGTAGCTCTTTTTTAACCACTATTTCCTAATTCCTACCTCACCGTCTGCTTTTCTCTCTTCCTAACTCTTGTCCCCAGGTATTTCCGCTCCGGAGCGCCTCCTGTCATCAATCCCCTGCACACACACTTCCCAGCAGACACTGCTGTGCCTGGGGTTTTCTCACTCACCCTCAGCTGGACACTGCCCAACAGAACCTCGGGCATCTTTAATGTCAGCAGCCCCTTACCTGGGGACTGGTTCTTGGCTGCCCACCTTCCCCAAGCCCATGGTCACATCTCTGTCAAGGTGGGTTGATGCTGCCTGGGACAGGAGGGGTCATATCTTCTCCTCCATCCCTGCCCTGTTGAGTGCACACTGGCGTCATAGCCTTGTTACCAGAATGAGCAACAGCACCAGAATGGCTGGGGTGGGGCACAGTATAGGCCAGGAGGCTGTCCTGTGGGATGGCCTGTAGTAGGGAACTGGGGCATAGGGATTCCAGATAGGTTGAAGAGAAACTGCAGGGTCTGGGATGAGGAGCTGTAACTGGGCATTTGTATCCGTTCCTATCAGAGGGCACTAAGGTTAGTAAAAGTGGCCATAGGCTGTCTGGGCCCCATAGAATCTGCTACACAAACTGAGGGCCAGTGTAATCTGCTGGACAAACCCAGCTTTTAATTTTGGTTGATAATAGCCCTGAAACATTTCTCAGGCCACCTCCTTGTCTCTAGCCCATGCATCATGGTTTCAGGCCTCTCTTTTGCCCTTAAGAAGGTTTTTCCTAATAAGGGAGGCTTTGAATAGCTGATGCCCTTTGTCATTCTGAAGGGCAGGGTCAAAGGTCAGGATGCTTCTTTACTTTGGAATGAAAGAAGATACCACAATGTTTTCCTGCCACTCTGGTGTGTTAGACATGTTGGGAATGAGGAACTAGGTAGGTTTCCTAATGCAGGAGAAGGAAGATGTGATGAGTTGGCCACTGTTAGTCCAGTAGCCATGTGTGTAGTGACAGAGCATGAACAGATGAGGGTTTATAGAGAGTTATAAAGTAGGTAGAGGTATTTGGCTATTGAGGGTTAAGAGGGACAGATATTCCCAACCAGTGAAAATTGCCTCTAAATTGGCAAAATGTCTAGATCTGTCTGGACCGAGTTTTTGTGAAGTTCCAGAGGGCTGTGGAACCCCATAGTGAGAGCGTGCTGGGAGCTCATCTGGAAGAGTCTCTGGACTCTTGACTCATGTTGAAATAAGGATTTTCCTTCTAGGAAGAACATCTTCATTGACCTTTGGCAGAATCTCAGAGAGCCTGCCTCTTAACCCAGCTGTGAGCTTGCCGAAAGCCCACTGGCTCTCAACCTTCCTAATGCAGACCCTTTAACACAGTTCCTCCTGTTGTGGTGGCCCCCAATCATACAGTTATTTCATATGCAGGGTTTCGGATAAGTGACCCCGGTGGGGGTTGCAGCTCACAGGTTGAGAACCACAGAGGCTTCTTCCTGGGCTGGAGCCTAGCCCCTGTTCTAGGAGTCTTCCTTTCTAAGTGAGCAGGGAGTACATGGGGCCTAGATGGTGTGTGGGATTGTGGAGCCGAGACCTGGACAGGAATGACTGGGATTGCTTGGGGATAGCACTACAGAGCAAGGGTTCTCAGAGCCTAATGTGTGATTCAAAGTATGTGCCTGTACCACTGGGGAGTGAGGAAACAGCCAGGCCCGGCATACATGTTCTGCCTAGAGAGAATTTTCAGTCTCGTTGAGACTTGGTACTGCAACTGGAGGCCTCAATAGCCATGCTTCCAGCAGTGTGGTGGGACCAGGGAGAAAGGGCACAGTCCTTCCATCGCTGGAGGCTGCAGGTCTGAGCATTCTTCAGACATGCCAGTTCTAGAGATTGGTTCTTTTAAAGTGTTGATTACCTTATCGAATCTTAATATGGGCCTCTAAGGATTCGTGTGCTCCCTGGCCCTGGCTAGTTTCCCAGACTTGAACCTACTGGTTTACTGTCTAGAACTTTCTGCATTCCCAACTTGTATCCTCTTGTATCATGGTTCTTCTGTAATGTGTGGCAGACACAGGCAGTGGTATGGCTTAGGGATAACCCTGGTTGGGGCAGGAAGGATCCCAGGGAGATAAGGCTACTGTTTCTAAGGCCCTCCTGGACTTTGGGGATGAGCTTAGACCTCCCTGTAACCCATTGCCCTTCAGCTGCTTTGCACTCGGCTTTGGGTGCTGGGTTGGGTGCCGGGAACACTGAGGTAAACATGACATATGTTGGTGAGATGTGAAAGTGCTTTAAAAAGACAAAGAAGAGATGGCTAACTCAGGTTGGTAACATGGAGGAGGTGGTGTTCAGAGACTGGGCAGTGAGGCCTCAGTGGGAGGAGACAGGGAAGTATCTCAGCCAGTGGGAGAAGCATTCATCATAGCTCAGGACTGAGGGGGTGGAAGGGTGGGCAGAGGTTCAGACCAAGGAGGGCCTAGAAGTTTAACTGTATCCTGGGAGTGACAGGGCCTGGAAAGGATGCCCTTCTCTAGGCCAGATGCTCTCCTGAACCATGTGTTCACAGCACGGAGCTGGCATGTGGTGGGCTTGGCAAGTTTTTGTTACTTTTCTTTCACCTTCTCAAACTCCTACTGTCCTAAGCTGATCTAATGAATGACTCCTCCTCTTCTGTCCCCTTCTTCCCGTCAGTCTCCTCATCTGCCTTGTCCCCGCCTCTCTTCTTGTTGTCTTCCGTGTCTTAGCAACTGTTTATCCTAAGGCTCCCATTTACCAGCATGCCTGGGATGGCTGGCTTTGGGACTGTGGATGTCAGCTAGCACCTAATAGCTCATTAGCTCATAATGAGAATGTTCTCCCAAATATCATGGTATGGGTCTTGAAGACTTTCCCTTTCCAGTCTAGGATTTGTGTGCAAGTAAAATCAGGTAAAATAATGAAAACAACCAGATAGAAAGCATAGCAGCAGAAGCTTAGAAGGCAGACCACTGACGAGGACCCAGTGTTACCACGGGTGGGTCGCAGTAGGTGATTGCTGCTAACAGTGCCTCCTCTGCTTTCTCTCCCCTCTAAGTTATTTTATTTATATTTCAAATAGGTGGCATATGCACCTGGTACAGCCTTTGAAAGGCACCAAAGGCCCACAGTGAAAAGTAAGTCTTCCTTCCCTTCTGTTGGTTTTGAGTGTCTCTCCCTGTAGGGAACTAGTATCCAGATCTCAACTACTTCTGTATGCTGTTCTTTCCTTCTCGATCCCTCTCACCTTAGCAGTTATGACTCCTGGCTCCGTTGTTCTCCTGCTTTTCCTGACCACTGTCCATCCTCTGCTTTGCACTAAGCTTTTTCTTTTGGGTCACCAACCAGCTCCCAAATCATGACACAGAGACTTATTATTAGTTTTGAATGCTCGGCCTAGCTTAGACTCATTTCTGGCCAGCTCTTCTAACTCAAGTTAACCCGTTTCTCTTTCTCTATCCTTTTGCCTTGGGGCTTATTACTGTTCTTCCTTCTGTATATCTTACTTTATTCCTTCTCATGTCTGCCTGGCTTCTCTCCCTGGGCATTGCCCTCATTCTCTCCTTCTTTTCTTACCTTTTATTCTCTCTAGATTCTTCTTCCTATTTATTTTCTCCACATTCTAGTCCTGACTATCTATTGGATCTCTTCTGCCTAGCTATTGGTCATTAAGCTTTTTATTAGACCAATCAGGTGTCTTAGGCAGGCAAAGTGAAACAAATTCAACACATCTTTACGTCATTAAACACAACCCTTATATCATTAAACAAATGCAGTATAAACAAATATAACATATGTTTATGCAGTTAAAATAATATTCCTCAGCATAAACAAATGTAACACATATTTGCCTAGTTAAACAATATTCCACAATGCTTTTTTTTCCCCTGACTTCTCTGCTCGGCATTTGTGTGTGTGTGTGTGTGTGTGTGTGTGTATCTATGTGTATGTGTGCAAGCACTGTTGTGACCTGAGACTTGGTCCCAGGAGAACTCATTTTTGTTTTTTCATTCTGGTTTGGTGCCTATGCACAGTTGTTTTGAATACCATCTATGAGTTGATGTGATGCCTCCTAAGGGTGGACAGCTAGTCTTGTATTCTGTGAATCTCAAACTTTATATTGATCAGCTGTCTTGACACTTTCAATTGCTTCTAAGAACAGTCTCAATCTTAATATGTACAAAGCAAAGCAAAGTCCCAAACTCTTGGATTCCTGCCTCATTCCCAGGCATGGCCTCATCCTACTGGTTGTCTTCTTCCCAGTAAATAGTTCTGCTACCCAGGACCCAGGAGTGCTCAAGACTCAAATGTCTCATCTTGTCTTCCTTTCCTCTTACTTCCCTGTGACCAATTAGCACATCTTCACTAGTGTTCACAGTGACCTCCTAAATGTCACTCCACTTCCTCTTCTGCCCCCTGCAGTCTATCCTGCCGGCATCCACTTCCATCCACATTGATTGGTATTGACTGAGGACAGGAGAGCTGTGCTGAATACTGAGGAAGCCAGTGTCTGGAGTATCTTCAGTCTGCAAGCCTGTCTTAGTGAGGGTTTCCGTTGCTGCGATAGAACACCATGACCAAAAGCAGTGTGGGGAGGAAAGGGTTTCTTTCAGCTTGCAGCTCTCAGGTCAAACTTCTTTGCTGAGGGGAGGCAGGGCAGGAACTCAAATGGGAAGGAATCTGGAGGTGCAGGAGCTGATGCAGAGGTCATGGAGGAGCACTGCTTGCTGGCTGGCTTTCCCTGGCTTGCTCCCCTGCTTTCTTATAGAATTCAGGGTCACCAGCCCAGTGGTGGCCCCACCCACAGTGAACCGGACCCTCCCACACTAATCATCAATCAAGAAAATGCACCGCCGACTTGCCTACAGGCCAGTCTGGGGGTCATTTTATCAATTGGGCATGATGACTCATATCTGTAATCGTGTCTGAGAGGCTGAGGTAGGAGGATTGGCATGAGTTGTAACCAGACAGGACTGCAAGGTGAGTCAAGGCTAAACCACAGACTTAGACCCTGCATCCTCTCTAAAGAACCAAAAAGAAGAGACATTCCCATGCTCCACACAATGCAGGGTGTTTCCATAATCCAGAGTCCTCCTGCCAGGCCCCCTCTGCCTTCCTTGGTCTCTGCTTCATGTTGAAGAAGAGACTGGATGTTGAGGGAACACAACCAGAGCACACATGTGTCTTGTTCCTTTCCTGAAACCAACAACAAAAAAATGGAGCAGTGTTTCTTTGCCTAGACCGTGAGGCAGGGAGATGGGCGCATCCTGAGCACAAGCTTGTGGTGATCCCTGCGTTCATGGACATCCTCTGAAGTGTTTGTCAGAGTATTTCTCATCCATAGGGCTCTACATCAGAAGTGAGGGATGTCTGCTTTGGATGTCAGAGACGGAAAATTCTGGACAATTAGGTCACTTAAAGAACTCTCTCTTGACCCCCATCCTTCAACTTGACAGCTGTTTTGCTCTCAGCACCTCAGATGTGGCAGGTCGCATGCTGAGCATTGAGAACGAAACCGTGAGGTGGGGCAGAAAAGCACAAGCACAGGGCAGCTGCCTGTCCTGACCTCCCCACAGCACTGTGGACTTAGCCCAAAGTCTGACGTTGGCAGACTCGGTCCATGGCATAAAACATAGTGGAATGTCAGGGCCTGGGTCTTTCCCCTCGAACAAGACTTTGGAGGCACATCGGGTCAGAGTAGCCACCAAAGCAAGCCCATAGTCTCTAGTTTATTGGGCCAACAAAAGGTCTTTATCTAGAAGGCTAGAGAAGCCTCATTCAGAGACCCTTATGGCCCTAACTGATAGGTTTGTAGGGCGTAGAAGATGTAGCTGCTGTGGAAGGAGAGCTGTGATATTGAAGGGATGGGGTGCTGGGAGGGTGGTCTCAGTAAAATGGGACAGATGGGTTTGGGAGTTTGTACAGTACAAGAGAAGCCTTTGGGAGTGTGATGGTTGTCCTTCAATGTCCAAAGAAACTGTCGGAGGCTTCAGGTCAGGTCAGAATAGTTGTGAGGGGATAGATTTTGGCTTCATAAAGGTCAGTGCTGTCTGCAGCTGGGCGGATTCATGTGTTTGGCAAACATTCATGGCAAGCTGTGCACACCACATTAGGCCTGTCAGGAGGGCCAAGTCCTGTTCTCAAGTTCCAAACAGTCTGGAGGTTGCTTGGGCAGTAGTAAGTAGTCTTTACTGGCGTGATGGAGCAGGGTCAGACAGGCACACATCAGAAGGGCAACCTGGGGAACAGGAACAATGAAAGGTTCAGACTAGTAGTGGTGGTGGGAGGTTGGACTAGAAGCCTAGATGGAGCTTTCCAACCCCTCTAGCACAGCCAGGGTTCAGTCGTGGAATGGCGTGGTGGTTTGCTGTTACAGTGGTGTATGTGGGGGGGGGGGGGGAATGTCCTGTCTAGGAATGTTGCAAGAGGAGTGTGTGGGTTGGGATAAAGTGCAAGCAGAGACACATTATCAGTTGGGTCTGAACTTGAGTCCCTAAACTTCATTCAGTGTTGAGAACTTGAAGACCCAGATAGGACAAAGGTGATCAGAAATGACTGCCCTGAGAGCTGAGGGGATGGCTCAGTGGGTAAAGCATTTGCTTTATAAGCATGAGCACACGAGTTCAGGTCCCCAGAACCCACATTGAATTAAGCTGGACAAGTAGCACACGTCTGGAGCCTCAGTGCTTCTATGGCAAGATGGTGGTGGGCCAGCCAGCCTGGCTTATACAGCTGCTAACAAGAAGAGGCCTCCCTCAAGCAAGGTGGGAGAAGTTCAGATTTAGAGACTAGAGTGGGAGCCCTGGGAACCAAAGGCTAATGGGCTTTTTCACGACCCCCCCCCCGCCAGGTTATATAGCCTTCCGCTTTGGTAGCATCCCCACTGTCTCTCCTGCCGTCCCTTATGTTTCAGGGTCTCCAGGATGAGTGTCAGTACCTCCTTCAGCCGCAGCTGATTGTCCGGCGTTTACTGGATGTGGCTGTACTGGTTCCTGGCCGTCCCTCAGAGCAAACCCTCTCCCCCCACAATCGTTCAGCCTTGTATAAGTAAGTATACACTCCAGACCTGGCCCTGCCCCCCTCCCTGGTCTTACACAGGGCAGTCTTGCTTCCCCTCGGGCCAAAGTAACCCAGGGTGGGTCCCATCCCAGTCTGCTCGTCCCTTGCACAGGGAGGGAGACTTGGCCAGGCCATTGTTCCTGTGTCTTTTACCACCATCCGTTCCCTTTCTTCCTCTTGTTTCCCTCCTCATGTTTCTCTTCCCTCTCTGTCTTTTCTTGCTCCCAACCTGTCCTCTGTCCAGGGTCTTTGTGCCCAGCTTCACATACAGGGTCTCTGCACAGCTGGTGTGTATAGGGGGCCGAGGGGCATCTGTCTGCCCCCTGACACTGCGCCTACGTCCCAAGGCCCCACCCCTACACAACTCAAGCTCTGTGGCCTGTGGAGGTGCCTCAGTATGCCAGCTGGAGTTGGCCCTGCCCCCCTGGGGGCACTGGGTCTATGTGCGTGTGGAGATGCCATCTCGTGGCCCTGGCAGGATCATCCGCTTCCAGCTGTGTGTTCGGTTACAAGGTCAGAACCCCTTCATCTGCCTCAGCTCCCCAACCTGTGCAGGAATCCATGGCTGGGGGTAACATGCATGGCTGTGTTCTGAGACCCTCAGCCACATCCCTACAATATCCCCTACCCTACCCAGGTTCCTTCATACTCCTGACGTCCCATGTCTTTGGAGCTTCAGGTCATTGGGCTGCCTTCATAGTGTGGTGTCTTCATACCTGACTTGAGACAACTAAAGGCTGTCTTTTTTTTTTTTTTTTAACTTAATCTCATCTTCCTTTTCCTGGGGTGGACAGGGCTAGCCAAGACTTCAGGAACTGCTCTTGCCATAAGCTCACAAGTCATTAGGACACATTAGCTTATATGGCTTTGAGGACTGACACATTAGCTTAATTCCTTCTTCTATGACCTTGGGGAGGGACAGATGACCTTTATACTCTACAATGTTGAAAAGCTATGATGCTTTCTTTCTCTAGGCCTATCCTATTCTGGTTTACATACCTTTCTCCCCTTCGCTAACTCCTGTTGGGCCCAGTTCTGGTTTGTGGTGGGGCTCAGGGTTATGTGGACCACATGTCTCATCTTTGGTTTCTTCTGTCTCACAGAGTGTCCACAACCCAGCCTGTCCCGTGCCTTGGTCCCTGGGGCTGCCATGAATATGCCCCAGTCACTGGGCAACCAGCCACTGCCCCCAGAGCCACCATCCCTGGGGACTCCTATAGAAGGGTCTGGAGCCATAGTGCCACCGGAGCATTGCTGGCCAGTGCGCCCAACTCTACGCAATGAGCTGGATACCTTCTCTGTTCACTTCTACATCTTCTTTGGTCCCAGTGTGGCCCTTCCACCTGAGCGCCCAGCTGTGTTTGCCCTGAGGCTGTTGCCAGTGCTGGACAGTGGAGGTGTTCTTAGTCTGGAGCTCCAGCTCAATGTGGTACTTCCTGGGAGGGGGTGGTTTCCCTGTTGGGGAGTGTGAAGGGGAAAGTTGCAGGAGTGTAGGGACCCTTGTCTTCTTCAGGAAGTCTTCCTAGGTTGCTGCATTGCTCCAGTTCTAGCAGAGTTCTGGTCAACAAGCTTGTTCTGGGTGTTCTCACTGCACTGTGTCAGCAGGACTCAGAGTGGCCCAGTGTTTCTGGTTGTAGGCTGGCATCCTGTCAGGGGGCTGATCCAGTGGTAGTTCATTTCTGTAATGGGAGGCTCACCACCTTTTGAGGTCATGCAGTCTGCGTTTAGACGGCTTCTGTAGCTAGTGCCATTCCCGATAGTCTACTAAAACTGCTTTCGTGAACGTCACCCACAGATCTTTGCTATATCTAGCAAACCCATGTGTGTCCTTGTTTTTAATAGTCTTTTAGAGCAATTTTAGAATTATAGAAAAATGAACAGTAAGTAACTGCTTGCTTGGGTCTGGGAAGCTAGTTCAGTGGATAAAGGGCTTACCCTCCTAGCAAGGATCTGACTTTGACACACACCGATAATCTCAGCACTGAGGAGATGGAGACAGGGTAGTCCCTGAGCCAGCCTTGCCTATTGGTGAGTTCCAGGCCAAATGTCAGGCTGTGTTTCAAAGAGATGGTGGATAGTATTTGAGGAATAATACCTAACATTGACCTCTGGCCTCCACATATACATATATGTACCCACACACACACACACACACACACACACACACACACACACACTACAGAATCCCTTCATTAATACATAGTATCTTAATGCTGTGCATTAGTTACAATGTTATACTATTCTAACTGCCCTTCAAGGACTATATACCTAGAGTCTGCCTTTGGCTATTCCTATAACTTTTACTGAGTAATACTTGGGCATGTTGCCTTTCCTGGCCTTCCACGAAAGGAGGTGAAAACCCAGCTACATGAGACTCACTCTTGTGTTGAGGACAGGTACACAGACACAGCATTGTTTGCTGAGAATGCAGCTGGAAAAGGGCATGGTGTACACACATCACCCCAGCACAAGGAGGCAAGATCAGAACCTCAAGGTTATTCTTGGCTCCATTGTGAATTCTAAGCCAGGACAGCCTGGGTTACATGAAATGCTATCTCAGAAATATCAAAAAATGATAGTAAGGATTTAGCTGAAGTCCACGCCCTGGATGCTGCATCCCTGGAGACTGGTGAGCTGAGATGTGCTCACAAATGAGGAAACTCACTGAGGTTCCTTCTTCACTTCGGCCATTTGTAAGTCATCGGGTGCATGACTCATGTCTATGGACACACTTATTTTCCTATACTGATTAAAATGTCTCATAAGCATTTACTTTTTTAGCCTGATTTAATATATCAGGCTGCCTCTAATCTTTCTTGATGAGTTTATGGCATCCTGTCTCTACCTCGAAGACAGCCCCTTACATCCACACCTAGGGATATCTGTGTTCTTTTAGTGCCAGTCAGATTGCTACATTTAACCTCTGGCTTGAGCTACCTGCATTTCCACTTGGGGTCATTTCACCTGAGGAGTGAGTTTTCTTAACAAGCATCTTACCTTCAGCCCCAGGGCTAGGTGACTGAGAACCTTAAATTACATTTTATCCACAGCTGGTTTCTACATCTGGCATGAGGTGCCTGACTCTCCCTCCCCATAAACCAAAGGGGAGATCCAGAGTGGGGCTTGCTCTGTTGTTAGGCTTTGAGAGTCTGGTCTGGCTGTGAGGAGGATCTGATGGGTCTGACCTCCTACTCAGTAAGAGCACAGCTTTGATGGCTTGATCCCTGGAGGAGTGGGCTGACCTGGAGAACAGGGCTGTCCAGCCATAGGGAGTGGGAGAGGAGACAGGTCTGGGGTGGCCACCCCAAGGGTCTGACAGCCTCATTTGCATATTCATCCTGCTCAGAGCTCTCTGCGTCAAGAAAATGTGACAGTGTTTGGATGCCTGACTCACGAGGTACCCTTGAGCCTGGGGGATGCTGCAGTGACCTGTTCCAAAGGTGGGGAGAGAATTGGGGAATAAGGGGAGGCTGGGTTATTCCCCAGCAGGGGCTCAGCCTAGGGGTTCCCAGAAGTGGGTTCTGACTCCATGCTGACTACTTCTCTCTCCTGGGTTCTTCTTTTCCTATTTAGAGTCCCTGGCAGGGTTCCTCTTCTCAGTCAGTGTGGCATCCAGAGTGGCCAGGCTTCGCATTCCATTCCCACAGACAGGGACCTGGTTCTTGACACTCCGATCTCTTTGCGGCGTGGGACCTCGGTGAGCGAGGGCAACCGGGGGCATAGTTGGTGCTGGGTTGGGGTGGCTCTGGCCTCAAATAACCAGCAGTGTGTATGCTCGAAGGTTTGTGCGATGCCGCAATGTAACAGCTGAAGTGCGGCTGCGTACCTTCCTGTCCCCATGCGTGGATGACTGTGGGCCCTATGGCCAGTGCAAGCTGCTGCGCACCCACAACTACCTGTACGCTGCCTGCGAGTGCAAGGCTGGTGAGCGGACTGGGATGGGGAGCAGGGGTGCCCTGGGGAACTAGGTATGGGGACAGGGTGAGCACCAGTGTCTGTTGAGCCCACTGGTGCTTTCTGCCCTCCTCCACCCAATACTTTCCCCGCCTGCAGGGTGGCGGGGCTGGGGTTGCACAGACAGTGCCGATGCACTCACCTATGGATTCCAGCTGCTGTCCACGCTCCTCCTCTGCCTGAGCAACCTCATGTTTTTGCCACCTGTGGTCTTGGCCATTCGGAGCCGATATGTGCTGGAAGCTGCTGTCTACACCTTCACCATGTTCTTCTCCACGGTATGCAGTGGTACCTCTGCTTCATTGTGCTCTTACCTCAGGGTGGGGAGAGGGGCTACATTTATACCACATCCCCCCCTACACTGTGTCTTCTAGAGTAGTGTCCCCCCCCATAACGTATAGAAAGTGACTGTCAGGCACCTTGTCGGATAAATGGCCAAAGCTGCTTCCAAGTTAACAAGCGTGGGTCCAATCCCCCACACTCTGCCCACATGGAGAGTAGAAGAGATATGGTTTGAACATACTGAGTGAAATGTGGGATTGGGTCTTCACCATCTCCAGGTCTCTGCATGGAGTCTTCACTTGGACTGTGGAAGGCTCCTCTGCTCACTGGTCTCCATTGTTCTATGCCCAACTGTCACACTCTCTCTCATCTTTGTTGACATAGAGTTTTAATGTATAGACAGGGTTGTCCTAAAACTCTCCATATAGCCCAGGCTGGCATTAAACTCTTAGTCCTCCTCCCTCAAGCCTCTTGAGGTAGGATTACAGACATGTTCCATGGTTTCTGTCTGTAGCATGCTCATTTTTATAACATAAAAACATGTCCCCCCATTCAGTCACCATGACCTTCTTAATTTCCATGAAAGGTTTTGGGAAGACAGGGAAAGCTTTATATTGGGCAGTTTATCAAACATCTCTTTTAGAGTCTTGAGGAACTTTGTTCTAAGGCGTCAAGGGGAAGGGCAATATAATATAAGATCCCAGGTCAAAGGAGTATAGGAGTACATTCTGATGTTGATTTATAGGGCTTTTGTTCTGTTTTAAACAAGGTATCACTATGTAGATCTGGCTGTATAGACCAGGCTGGCCTAGAACTCAGAGATCCACTTGCCTCTGCCTCCAAGTGCTGAGATTAAAGGTGTGTACCACCACACCCAGCTAGATTTACAGTTTTTAGGTCTCCCTGTTCCCATATGGTATCTTCACAGTTCCTTCTCGGAGATTTCCAACTTCTCTATAGCCAGAAGGGTTCACAGTACAAGCAAGCCTCTCTGACAGGAAAGGCAGAAGTGTATCTCCTGTTGTGACTTAGCACCCAAATCGGCTTGCTCCCTACCAAGGTCTGGTGTCTGTGGATCTTGTCATGTCATCTGCAGGTTCTTGGCAAACTGTGACACACAATACCTGCCCGTGAGCACTGCAAAAATCTTAGATGGGTTTTGCTTCTCCATGTGTTTTGGCAAGAACAATATCACACAAGATCATATCTGTGGGATAACTCAGCGAGCAAAAGCACTCGCCACTAAGCCTAACAATCCAAGCTCAACCCCTGTGACCTACATAGAAGAAGGAGAGAATGACTGTCTCAGCTTGTCCTTTGACCTGCATATGCTTGCTGTGAAATACACACACACACACACACACACACACACACACACACACACACACAAATGTAATTAACAAAGTGAATATCACAAAAGTAAATATGTGCTACCGTGGGTCCAGATTACAGAAACTGAACTGGTAGTGTAGGGGAAAGTAGGGGGCGTATATGTCCACATGAGGGTTGCAGGGACTTCCTGGGTACTCAGCTATAGAGGAGGCAGAGAAAGGAGGCTGTAGCCATGCTACCAGATGGGACCAGTGCACCCCAGTGTAGCTGGCTCCCTCTCAGGCCTGGTCCGACAGTCTTTCTATTTTTATATTAGACTCTGTTCCTTCTTATACCAGGTGCCCATCTACTGTTGCTCACGGGACCTCCCAACAGCTGTTCTACCAGCCCACTCTTGGCCTCATGGAGATCTAAAGTGACTCAGAATTAGTAAGAACACTTTAATATAGCAGGGGCAGGAATGAGTATGTTCTCATTCCTTGCACACAAGCATCCTGTCCTGGAATATTCTAGGCCAAATGCCTCTTCATTATCTAGATATAGTGTCATATCAACCTGGAGCCTCAGTACCACATGGAGAACCCCCTCTTTTAAAAGGTTTATTGTTTTTACTTGATATGCATGAATTTTGTGCACCCCACATATGCAGTGCCCATGGAGGCCAGGAGAGGGCATTGGATCTTCTAGAATTGGAGTTACAGGAGGTTTTGAGCCACAGTGGGGCTGCTGGGAACTGACCTGGGGTCTTTTGCAAGAGCAGTCTGTGCTCTTAACTGCCAGACTCTCTCCCCAGCCTGACCCCCTCTTTCTAAAAAGAAGGCAGTGAGTGTGAGACTGAGAACGAGCTGCAGCTTTAAGGCTGCAACTGAAAGTCCTTCTCTAACTCTGTTCTTTTCCACGTGGTCAAAACAGAACTCGTATCCAGTTTTCTGCCCACAGGGTCTCTCTTGTCCTTTCTTTCTCATTCTTAGCTTAGACTTATTTCATTTCACAGACATGCCTGTCTAAGGGCTTGTTGATTAGTTTGTAGTTGACAGTACAAGGATAGTAGATGAGTGTACTCTTCCTTGTCTGAATATCTAGGACAGCTTAACTCTGGAAGTGGCATGGTGGTGCTTATCTGGGGCATAGCAGCAGTCAGCAAGCTATAATTCAGGAGTTTACAGATATAAAATATGTCCTTAAAAATAGGCCAAAAACCTAGCATTGATTCTGTATGTAGCCAAGCATTCCAGATAACGGGGCAGAAACTGACAGCCACTGGACATGTGCTGTGCATCATTGCTAATTAATTCTCATGATTGCTCTAAAATAATAGGTGGACATTTTAATTCTTATGTTCTGTAGATGAAGGGAAGTTGAATGCATTGCCCAGGGGGGGAATTGACTGTTAGAGTCTAGGTTTTTACTCAGCCTGATCCCACTTGCCTGTATCACTCCCCATGTCTCAGAGCCCTGAACATGTATCCATATAGCCAGGCTCTTCCAACAGTCCCCCACTTTTCCTTTCTTCATTTCCTCTTTCCCATTCTTTTCTTCCTCGGAGAGTGATCTCACTCTACCACTGAGCCATAGCTTGAACTTCTCGAAACTCATGAAAGATAAAAGCCAATTAGGAAATCTAACCAAATTAAAAAATAACAGACATTCCAAGACACATATCCTCACCGCTCCTCCAGTCCTATGATCAGACCCCCGAAGCCCAGACAAAGCCCCCATCCTGGAGCTGTGTACAGCCTTCCCTGGTGATTGCTGGCGTCCTGGCTTCAGGTCCACTTTCTGTGACCTCTGCTGTTCCTCAGACCATCATGAATAACGTTCAGTGGCTCTTGGTAAAATCCCATGAGTGTTCTTAGGACAAAATTGACTTTGGAAACAGAAAAGTAAGTGAGCAACGCTACGTCTCATCATATCCTGAGCACAGATTCCCAGGTCTGCATGTGTTAAAGATGTTTCCATTTCCAGATTAATGCCTGAATACCCTGTTTTGAAGCACTGGACAAACTAGTTATAGTCTAAAAATGTAGAATTCTATAATTTAGTTAATTATTCGAGAATACCTTATGTTTGCATCCAAAGTGAGGAAGTGGTCAGTACAGATTAGAATATTAGCAGAGCAAGATTGTGGTCTTAATTTTTCTTACAACTCCCCTTCCCCCAGTATAGAGGAGCTGTTAGGAGAGAGCCAGTGTCTCCCCTTAGACATGTCTTCAGTATCTGGTGATTCAGCTCTCCTTTTGTCCTGCTGATCTGTGTCTCCTTGTGAGGCAAAGGATTCATCACAGGCCCCTCCTTCTGTATGCGTCAAAGACAGGTGCAAGACATTGATTAAGCCTGGTATGTGAAATTAATCTTGGAAAGTAAACCCAGGTCAGAAACCAATGTCCGCTAGATTATTTCGTAGCTCATATTTTTACATCTAATTTTTGAAAGAGGAGAATAGCCAGATGGCCACATGTAATCCCAGCACTCAGGCTGAGGTCAGCTTGAGCTGCATGGTAGATTCTAGGCCAGCCTGAGCAACAGAGTCAGACCCTGTCTAGGATGGGCCTGGGAGAGAGATTTAGGAAACGATGTCCAATGGCTTCATATTCAAATGTTAATTCTTCATGATTTAGAAGAGGAGGGCCATGTCCCTTCACCATATGGTACCCTAGTGTGAGTGCCATGCTGTTGTCCATAGCTATAGTGCCACTCTTCATGGCTCTCCATGCTGCTTTCCAAGGCCACAGACGCTGCACTTTGCTTCCTGAGCTTCCTGCTGTCTTGCCATGGGGATGGTTAAAGTGGGTCAGTTGAGGTCAGTGAGAGTGAAGCTAGTTCAGAGCCTGAGCTGTTGAGGAAACTGGGATTTCTGGCGGGGAGGTTTGGGATCTGGGTTGCCTAAGAGGGTAGAGCCAGATAACATGGAGGCTTGAGGCGTGGATTGCTGATTTAGATTGAGTAAGCATGAGAGGGTAAGGATAGGGGCCGGCCTCAGCCGGCTGGGTCCCTGGCTGGGTACTTTCCATAGCAATCCCAGAAGCAGGGAGAGAGTGGCAAGGACCAGTGTCTGAACTGCCAGACACATTTGGCTGTAAAGCAGACCAGACCTTGCTGCCATGTTTTTTCTCAAGGATGAGTGAATTAGGGCTGGAGAGGCAGCTCTGTGGCTAGAGCATTGGCTGCTATTGTAGAGGACTGGTATTTAATTCCTAGCACCCATATAGTGGTTCACAGTTGTCTGTGACTCCAATTCCAGTGTGCACACATGTGGTGCACCGACCCACATGCAGGCAAAATACCCAGACACATACAATAAATCTTAAAAATAAGAATGAAGGAGTCAGGCATTTCCTGGCATTGCTCAGCTGTGGCCTCTGGCCTGTTTCTCTGACAGAGTAGCCCCCATAGGGTCTTCCTTTGGCTCGGCAGCCCTGGACTTGTGGCCTTAAGGCCTTTTAACACCTGTTTTTTCTTGCAGTTCTACCATGCCTGTGACCAGCCAGGCATTGTGGTTTTCTGCATCATGGACTACGACGTGCTTCAGTTCTGTGATTTCCTGGGCTCCTTAATGTCGGTTTGGGTCACCGTCATTGCCATGGCTCGTTTGCAGCCTGTGATCAAGCAGGTCAGTCCGGAGTGGGTCCTGGGAGGCAATGATAGCTAGCCTCTATTTAAAATCCACTCGTGCTTGGGGCTTTCTCAGTGCCCAACATCCTGGCCCAATGCTGGAGTCCTGTCTCTGTAGGTGTTGTATTTGCTGGGGGCTATGCTGCTGTCCATGGCTCTGCAGCTTGACCGGCATGGACTCTGGAACCTGCTTGGACCAAGCCTCTTCGCCCTTGGGATCTTGGCCACAGCCTGGGTAAGAGTGGAGAGGCCTGTGAAGGGCAAAGGAGGGGCAGGAGTGGATACAGGGTGCTGGCTATCTGGTCCCCAATTTAAGGTCATCTTGCATTCTCTTACCATCACCTGCTGTCCACAGTGGCCTCTCAGGTCACACCTAGGACTGAGGGGTAGTCTGAACTGTTTCTGGCTTGAATTATAGGGCCTCATATTCCTGAATCCCACTCTCTGCTTCCCCCAGACAGTTCGCAGCGTCCGGCGCCGGCACTGTTACCCACCAACATGGCGCCGCTGGCTCTTCTACCTGTGCCCAGGCAGCCTTATTGCAGGCAGTGCCGTCCTTCTGTATGCTTTCGTGGAGACGCGGGACAACTACTTCTACATTCATAGCATTTGGCATATGCTCATTGCTGGCAGTGTGGGCTTCTTGCTGCCTCCTCGTGCCAAGACTGACCGCCGCGTCCCGTCTGGAGCTCGGGCCCGGGGCTGCGGTTACCAGCTGTGCATCAATGAACAGGAAGAGCTGGGCCTTGTGGGCCCAGGAGGGGCCACTGTCAGCAGCATCTGCGCCAGCTGAGAGGAGCTTTGGGCCAGGCTCCTAGGGGTCATGAACCCTGCGTAGGGTTCCTCCTGGGGCTGTGGAGCCCTTCTAGGAACAAGGGACAAGTTGTGTTTCTTAAAGACACATAGTCTTTCTCAAGGATGACTGTTTTCAGGGACCAGGAGGCCTTCTCAAGACATGGAGAATTTCCTGAGAGTCTATAGTCCTCCTGTACTTATGGAGTCCTTCTTAAGGATGAGCTATGCAGGACACAGAACCCCTCAGGACCAAGGAGTACCTAGGGGTGTGGATCCCTTCCCAGGGATAGGGAGCCCTCCTACGGACAAGATACTTCCAAGGAGACAAATTTTCATCAGGAATAAATCATCAGTACAGTGGGAAAAGGAGTCATCTTGGAGAAACAAGTCACCAGATTTTCCCAGAGGCTCAGCAACACTGGCCACATCTGTGCTGTGCTGGGCAGGGGGTTGGGAGAGACAGCTGGGATGGGCTAGGCAGCTGGGGTCCTGATCTGATAGAGGTGGCGTCTGGGTTGTCTCCAATGAAGTAGGTACTAAACCTGTGCTGCCTTTTCTTCCCGCTGGGGCCAGGGTATGGGGAGATGGAGGGAAAGGGACACCGAGGAAAGGGCTAGAGTGACAGGACCTTCCTGAAGAAGATGCTGTCCGTGACTTCTGTCCTGTGGTTTGCACACTGCATCCCTCTCATCTTGTCCCCGTGTTTAATTCTAAAAACTCGCTGATGTCCATTTCTCAAGTGTTATGGATCCTAGTCTGTAGTAGTGAAGAGGGGTGTGTGCACGTGTGTGTGCGTGTGATTGCTCTGTATATACAGAGATGAATTAGTAAGACAGGCTTTCCTGTGACGCCTCCACCCACAGAGAAGGAAGCTAAGGTGCCAGGAAATTGGAGTAACAGGTACAAATTTCAAATGTATAAGGCATTGTAAGAATGGAACTACTATTTTAAGATTCCATTTTTTCCTTGCATGCCAGAAATAATCTTTTATGAGAGTTCTTACTCTGTGTGTGTGTGTGTGTGTGTGTCTGTCTGTCTGTCTGTCTGTCTGTCTGTCTGTATATAGTTGGTCTGGCCTGGATATCATGACCCTCTGAGCCCTGAAATTACAGACATGGACATCATGCCTGGCAACTGGACTCCTTTTCTCCCCCATGGGCTCATAGCTGAGTGTGAGGATTTTGTCTTAGGCTGAGATACTACAAGAATTCTTTCTGATCCCCAGTGTTCATACTTCACCCATCTTCTGAGAGCTCTGTCATCCTAGCTGGTTCCCAGTCAGTAGTCAGACAGTTGCTAAATGCTGAGCTGGTTTTTGTTCTGTCTGCATAGCCCTGAGTTTCTGCCCCCTAGTTCTATGCCACATGAGGTGTTAGTCCTGTGCTGGGTTCTACTTAATGGGGCAAAAGATGAGTTGTTTTCTCTTTTAAACTCCATGGACGGAGCCAGGGTGCTCAGCTCCAGCTTCTTTAGGGAATCTGGGACAGTGCTCACACTTCCTTCCCCCTTCAGCCCTCCCACTTGTCAATCAGGAGACAACCTCACATTTCTACCAAATCTTTTCTCTGTGCCTTAAGTCCTTTCTATTCTTTCCACAGCCTAGGCCCTCAAAGCTCAAAGCCTAGAAAATGCCACGTTATTCTTTACTCTCTGCAACCATATCTCTTCCCTGAGGCATGGAGTGGAGAATAAAGTATCTGGCTGAGTGACAAGGAGTAAGGGTGTAGGGACTGGGTGTCCGTTCCTGTATCAGAAGATCTGTTCTTGGGCTGGCCTGGGTATGGTGGTGCATGCCTTTAATCCCAGCATTCTAGGAGTAGGAGCTGGGGAATTGCCATGAATTCAAGCCAGCCAAGGTTACATAGACCCTCTCTAAAATAAAATAAAATAAAATAAAATGGCTAGAGAGATGGTTCAGCAGTTAGAGCACGCACTGCTCTTCCAGAGGTCCTGAGTTCAATTCCCAGAACCCAATTACAGGCTAAGATGCCTGTAACTACAGCTCCAGGGGATACCACACTTTTGGACTCCATGGGTACCTCTCCACACAAGTGGTACACACTCACATAGACACAAACACAAACACACATGATTAAAAATAACGTTTTAAAGAAGAAATGCTATTCCTTACCTTATCTGTGACCATACCACCCTGAACATACATGAACTTGGATGATCAAAGAAGATAAGCAGGGCTGGGCTGGTTAGTGCTTGGATGGGAGATAAGCCATTCTCACCCTGAAATAAGTAGAATTAGGCCATGAGGACAGTTGACCCAAATAATCAGGACTGACTCATGGAGAGTATAGAAGGCAATGAAGAGGGAAGGGAATGGGGTGGCCATAATGCCAAGATGTTGGGAAAGTTTCTCTGTGATTATGAGTGCCCATCTTTTACTCCTTTCCTGAGACACCCATTCTATGTAGTCCCCAGTCACTAAAGTACTTAGGACACTTGATAGAGTGCAGAAATGATGGACAAAGGTCATGGCATGTTGGGAAAGGGTTACAGTGATGGAGAGTGACAGGGGCAGGAAAGACTGATATTAAGGAGCTGGGAAGAGTGAAGTGGGCCTGGGTGTGTGTGTGTGTGTGTTGGGATGATTAAGGTAAGCAGCTAATGAAGCTGTGGACAAGTGGGTAGTGTGGTCTTTACCCTATGGGAAGAGGGAAATGAGGAGCTACTGGGAATGTTTAAGCAGCAGAGTAGCATGAACAAACTGTTTTGGTGGCTGGTGTGAAGGGTGTGTCTGGGGGAGGAGCACAGTGACAAACCTGTCACACTAACTGAAAGGGAGACAGTGAGGGCTTCTTTACAAGGTACCAGCAGAAGGAGGAAACTTGTTTAAGAGCAGCAGGAGACAGACATTAGAACACCGAGTGCCCAAAGGCATATGTGGTATGGTGGGGATAGATGACCTCTATCTTTTTGACCTGGGTGATGGTGCCATTCCCTGATATGGTGACACACCTGTGATTGGGGATGATGAGTACAGTTTGGGACATTTTGGATTTGAGGTGTTTGAGTACTTGGGGAGCCAGCATTAAGACAGGATGAACAAACAGTGCAGCTGAGTCAGGCCTGCCTGCAACCCTGAGTTGTCTGCTGACTTAGGTCACTGGGAGAATCTAAGATCCAGCAAGCCTGGCCTGCCTTGGACGCATGGCTGTGGCCAGCCGTTATTACTGCTTCCTTGCATGTATCTGTACTTGCAACTACACCAAGTTCCCTGCCCACCTACCACTGTTTAGAGCATGCCTAGTAACAGGGGTTCAGTGTTGTCTGGTGGTGACATGAGAACTTCCATGTGGCAATTCAGTTCCGAGGTCATGTAAGGAAAACCCTGTTAGAGCTATGGGGATGAGTCAGAGTTGGTGGCACCTGGCCCCAAAGGAGCTCTCATATTGATAAGGATCAGATAGATCCCATTGAAGGGTCCCAACCAAGTGCTGTAGGATATGAAGAAGACAAATGAATCGAGAAAGAATGCGTGAAGGAGGCAGTGTTTAAAATGGCTGAGAACTTGGTCTTGGTGTGATTCATGAATAGCACGCACGAGCAAAGACCTGAGGGTGAGGACAGTACAGATGATGTAATGAGAGGCTGACCTATGTGGGGGAGGGGAAGTAATGCTGCTGCGTGTGGTCCAGATTCCTAAGGGCCTTGAGGACTCAGCCAAAGAACTTCAGACTTAGTGTGGTGACAGTGGAAGGCCGTGGAAGATGATGCAAGGAGTTTGTTGTAGAGATCATGGGTAGTTAACACATTAAACATAACCCCAAAGGATGCTAAAATTATCAGTGCTGCCTTAAGGAATGGAAACAAAGTACTTTCTCTTGATTGAAAATTTTTCTTATTTTTTGAGACAGGGTCTCACTGTGGAGCCATGGCTGGCCTGAAACTCACTATGTAGACCAGGATGGCCTCAAACCCACGGAGATCTGCCTGCCTCTTCCTCCCTAGTGCTGGTATTAAAGGAATGCCCACCATGCTCTACTCTCTTGGATTAATTTGACCAACAGTGAGCCAAAATTTGAAATCTTCACTTGTCTTCTCGTGTCTTCTCTCTGTAGTTTGTAGTTACTGGCATATCTATAGTCTGTCTAGTGTGTGTGTGAGTGTGTGTGTGTGTGTGTGTGTGTGTGTGTGTGAGAGAGAGAGAGAGAGAGAGAGAGAGAGAGAGAGAGAGAACTATGTCCTTGTTTCCTGTCTGTTCCTTGTCTGAATGTATGCCTGTGCTTGTGTCTAATCTCTGACTATGCTATGTCTATGTCTAAAGCCTGGCTTTGAACTATATTTTATAGACCAGCACAGACAATAAATGCCTGGCCAGCTCAGTTGGTAGAGCATGACACTCAATCTCAGGGTCGTGGGTTCTTGTCACACATTGGGTAACATATGTAAATGGAGGTTTGTCTCCTGCCTGCCAGTTCCCAAATAAAAACTCAGAGGCTTAATAGTAATTATAATTGTTTGGCCAATGTCTCAGGCACATTACTGAATAGCTCTCACAATTAAACTTAGCCCATTTAGTTGATATTTTACCACGATGCTTGTGACTTGTTACATCACATCTTGCTTCTCCAGAAGCTACAGGGCATCTCCCTGAGTTAGACTTCTTTCTCTCTGTATCTTTGTTTAGATTTCCTGCCTGGCTCTATTCTGCCTGGCCATTGGCCAAATCAGTTTTATTTATCAGCCAATAAAAGCAACACGTACACAGCATACAGAAGGACATCCCACATCAAGCATAGGGCAAAAAGGAATTCTTACCAAAATCTTAGAGATTTAAAAAAGAAGTAATAGGCTGGAGAGATGGTTCAGTGGTTAAGAACACTAGCTGGCCTTCCAGAGGTCCTGAGTTCAATTGCCAGCAGCCACACGATGGCTCAAAGCCATCCGTCTTCAGGGATACATGCAGACAGAACACAGTATATACATAATCAATAAATATTTAAAAAATAAAAAAGGGAAGTAATTTCACTGTTTCCAACTGACCTAGGATAGTAAACAAAACCACACAAATGTTATCAACCTATATCCACTTGTTGCTTTCAACATTTATGGTGGGGATTTGTTTTAAAGTTGCTTCCAACCTGTTAGCTGTTTGCAGAAATGATTACTGCAACATACACATGATTCTGGATCAGTCAAGGGCATGGACCGGTACATAACAAGATCAAAGCCTTGCATTATCTTAGGCTGAAATGCTAATTACATGACGAATCCAAGGCCTAGTAGGGCTCCTTTACATTGTTCTCTTAAAGGCAGGTTAAACTTAAACCAGCTGAGTGAGTACACAGTAGGGCAGCAGTTAAGTATCCTGTCTTAAATAATCTCCAAGGAGCAGTACTTACTTTACTAGAGGTCTGCCAAAATTTCAGCCTTTGGGGAAATACATTTTCATAAAATTGTGTCAGTACAAGATCAGACTTCCACAATCATGGCAGTAGTTAAAGAGATCCATCAAGCTGGATCTCTGCATTTGGCACTGGACCTGAAGCTTTTACAAGCCTGTTTGGCTGGTGGTCAGTTAAGACC